ATTGGCTTTTATTCACGTATTTCGTAACTAAACTAGTAGGGTTTTTTTCCCTTTGCAATTCTTATTGTAGTGTTTTGACTCCATATTACACTGAAGAGGTCCTCTTCTCCTTGCGTGACCTGGAAACGCCAAATGAAGATGGGGTTTCAATCATCTTTTACCTACAGAAGATTTTTCCAGGTGATTTTGGCTTATATGCTGTTAACTGTAACCTAAATTCTGGATTTACGTCTATCTGACCTCTTATCTTTAGATGAATGGAACAATTTTCTGGAGCGGGTGAAATGCTCGAGTGAAGAGGAACTTAAGGAGTCTGATGAATTGGAGGAGGAACTTCGTTTATGGGCTTCATATAGGGGTCAGACTCTGACTAGAACTGGTATGCTCTTTTGGTTAATTTCCTTTCCAGTGAAAAATTAAGATGAATACATTGGACCTGTTGTTAATCTTTTGATATTTTGGCAGTAAGAGGAATGATGTATTATAGAAAAGCATTGGAGCTTCAGGCATTCCTAGATATGGCTATGCATGAAGGTATTCTTCTCTAATTTATATTATATGGCGAAGGGCATAAATAAATTCATACAACCGACTGTTGATGCTGACCCTTTCTAAAACTTGCTTCTTTAGATTTGATGGAAGGTTACAAGGCTGTAGAACTAAATTCAGAGAACAATTCAAGAGGTGAAAGATCACTCTGGGCACAGTGTCAAGCTGTTGCGGACATGAAGTTTACATATGTTGTATCATGTCAACAATATGGTATCCATAAACGATCTGGTGATCCTCGTGCGCAGGATATATTGAGGCTTATGACGAGGTGTGCAGAACAATCCTATTTTCTTGTCATTTGTTAACTTGTTTGAACTTATGGCTTTGCTTACAATTGGCAGATACCCTTCTCTCCGTGTTGCATACATTGATGAGGTGGAAGAACCAGTGAAAGACAAGCCAACGAAAGGGAACCAGAAAGTGTATTATTCTGTATTGGTAAAGGTGCCTAAGTCTACTGATCATTCTAGCCTAGCACAGAATCTGGACCAGGTAATGCAAAGCAATCTAACACTTGTTTCAAGTTGTTGATTCTGCAATTTGTTATGTCGTTGAATATATTCGTGTTAGATAAGCCCGTCCAGAAGGTGCTGCTAATGCTGAAATTTTTACTGATTTTCTTAGTAAAAGCTGAATAATGTATTGTATAAATTTTAGTTAAATGGCTACCTAATGGCATACACCTTTGATAATTCGTATACTTTCTGCCTCTAGAAAACATACATCTTGTGCCACATTTATTTTTACTTTTATATTTGCTATGTCATGTTCATTTTATCCATGTTTTTCTTTATTCTTACATGGACATGTTTAATAAAATTTCTCTGCCTTCTAGGTTATCTATAGGATTAAGCTTCCTGGACCTGCTATTCTTGGAGAGGGAAAGCCAGAAAACCAGAATCATGCTATCATTTTTTCTCGTGGAGAAGGTTTACAGACAATCGATATGAATCAGGTATGCACTTGTTCTTCTTCTTTTCTTTAACACTTGAGTATTATTGAAACTGCGAATAGAGTACAAAAGCCGGAAGAAAACCAGAGACAGAGCCTGCAAATTCCAATTAACTAACAAAGCCAGCGAGTTCATTGAACTCCTGGAAGCAAAGATGCCATTTATTATAAAGTATCTTACTATGCCAATTTTATTCAGGATAATTACATGGAAGAAGCGTTAAAAATGAGGAATTTGCTTCAAGAATTTCTTACAAAGCATGACGGTGTTAGGCATCCATCCATTCTTGGACTTAGGGAACATATATTTACTGGATCGTGAGTCTTTTAGCATTTCCATCTGTTTTACGGATTTCCTTATTAGCTCAATGAAATTTGGTTATCTCTAAGAACAATTTGTATTTGCACTTGGCAGTGTTTCCTCTCTTGCTTGGTTTATGTCAAATCAAGAGACTAGTTTTGTCACCATTGGTCAGAGATTACTGGCAAACCCTTTGAGGTAAGTTTGTTTTCTGATATCAACTGTAATGATGATTGCACATGATTTTCTTTGCTATCATTCCCATATTAGAATTCATTGTTCTCTTGCTCCTATATAGGGTTCGTTTCCATTATGGTCATCCAGATGTGTTTGATAGATTGTTTCATCTAACAAGAGGTGGTGTTAGCAAAGCATCCAAGGTTATCAACCTCAGTGAAGACATATTTGCAGGTATATTCTACTCTTGCGTAGGACTATCTGTGTCTCTCATCGACTCTTAACTGAAGTCCTCGCTGATGGATTTTGTACTTTTTTTGTATCGAGCAGGATTCAATTCTACACTTCGTGAAGGAAATGTTACCCATCATGAATACATACAAGTTGGTAAAGGAAGAGATGTCGGTCTAAACCAGATCTCTATGTTTGAGGCCAAGATTGCTAATGGCAATGGAGAGCAGACATTAAGTCGGGATATTTACAGGCTTGGACACCGTTTCGACTTTTTCCGAATGATGTCTTGTTACTTCACCACTGTTGGCTTTTACTTCAGCACCCTGGTATTCACAATTTCGTTCTGTTTTTGTTAAGCCAAGCATCACACAGCTAGTTCGGATCTGATTCATTGTCTACTATTTTTACAGATTACTGTTCTCACTGTCTATATCTTCCTCTATGGACGCCTCTATCTTGTTTTGAGTGGGCTCGAACAAGGTTTAAGTACACAGAAAGGCATCCGAGACAATACACCTTTGCAAATAGCTCTTGCTTCACAGTCATTTGTTCAGATTGGTGTCCTGATGGCTTTACCTATGCTTATGGAAATTGGATTAGAGAGGGGTTTTAGGACTGCCTTGAGTGAATTTGTGCTGATGCAGCTTCAGTTGGCGCCTGTGTTCTTTACGTTTTCTCTTGGGACAAAGACTCACTACTATGGAAGGACGTTACTTCATGGTGGGGCCAAGTACAGGTCCACGGGGAGAGGGTTTGTCGTCTTTCACGCCAAATTTGCTGATAATTATAGACTGTATTCCAGGAGCCATTTTGTAAAGGGGCTTGAGATGATGCTGCTACTCGTTGTGTATCAAATTTTCGGAAGTGCTTACAGAGGCGTCCTTGCATATCTTTTGATCACCATATCTATGTGGTTCATGGTCGGGACTTGGCTTTTTGCTCCCTTCCTCTTCAATCCTTCGGGTTTTGAATGGCAGAAAATTGTTGATGATTGGACTGATTGGAATAAATGGATAAATAACATTGGAGGTATTGGTGTTCCGGCAGAAAAAAGTTGGGAATCTTGGTGGGAGGAAGAGCAAGAACATCTCCGACATTCCGGAAAGCGTGGTATAATTGTTGAGATTTTATTAGCCCTGCGGTTCTTTATCTATCAATACGGGCTTGTTTATCATCTCACGATTACAGAGAAGACTAAAAACTTTCTGGTATGTAACATTTGATGTTGGTATTTTCTTATTTCATCACTTCTTGATGTTGGCATTTTTCTTATTCAATCACTAAATCTCTTCTCAACACAGGTTTACGGAGTATCATGGCTTGTGATTTTCTTGATATTGTTTGTGATGAAGGTAGGATTACTTAACATATCAATCTCTCGATAGTTTCTCTAACATCATGGTCAATGATTATACTTATGTATTGCTTGCTTGTTTTTCTCAGACTGTATCGGTTGGAAGGCGGAAATTCAGCGCTAGTTTTCAGCTGATGTTCCGGTTGATAAAGGGGCTAATATTCATGACATTTATCGCAATTATTGTGATATTGATCACACTAGCTCACATGACGATACAAGACATAATTGTGTGTATCCTTGCCTTTATGCCCACAGGTTGGGGGATGCTCTTGGTAAGTAAAAAAAGAAGAAGCTTTTTGGTAGTGAGTCTAATTAGAAAGAATTGCTGTGTGTTTTGGGATTGACACAAGGCAACAATTGGTGTGTTTGTGTTGTTGCAGATTGCGCAAGCTTGTAAACCGGTGGTTCATAGAGCAGGATTCTGGGGATCAGTGAGGACACTGGCTCGTGGTTACGAGATAGTGATGGGACTATTGCTGTTCACGCCAGTGGCGTTCCTGGCATGGTTTCCATTTGTGTCGGAGTTCCAAACGCGTATGCTCTTTAATCAAGCTTTCAGTAGAGGTCTTCAGATCTCTCGTATCCTTGGAGGACACAGGAAAGATCGCTCTTCTCGAAACAAGGAATGATTCATCTATTCATTGTAATGCAGGCGATGTTAATGTATCCCTCTTTATAATCTTCTTGTTGGTACAAGTAGCTACTCGTATGGATTGACACTAGTGTTAGTTAATGTAACTTAGTTCTCGGCATATCGCTCTCTTAGGTGAACATTGTAGTAGTCCTGTATCATGTAGTGACTGTTTAGTTTATTCAGATCATCATCAAATCCTATCATTCCCATAGATCAAGTAATTAACCAGAAATCAAAATCAATACTTTTCTTCTGTTTGATTACTAATTGATTCAATATCATATGAATACGTGAAATAGCAGAGAGGAGCGACTTCAGCAAGTAACAGTTTTTGCTTGACTTGCAAGACACAGAGAAAATACCAAAGGTTTCAAAATATTCTAGCCCAGCTTGGATTTCGTTGATGGGTCGAAAAGGGAAGCCCACGAAGGAGAAACCCATTTAGTTTCGTAAAATCCGAAAATTGGCGGGAAATTGGCGAAAGAAACGTGGCGGGCGTAACAGGCTCCACGAGGCAGACGTACGAGGATGATAATTTTTTTTTTTTTTTTGTGTGTGTGTGTTTGTCTGGTTCGTTCCAGCCTGTAAACGGTAACCTCTGTGTCCGTACAGATTAAAGCTCATCCGGGAAATAAGAACAATGACAATGACTGATCTGCCCATCAAAACAGTAAAAAACGAGGGCAAAACCGGAACTTACTCCTTATTAGACGACGACACACCTCTCTCGTCGTTGTCACTCTTGTCGACTCTTTCTTTTTACCAGAAAGAGGTCTTTTTTTTTTTTTTTTGAAATGGCGGCGATGAAATACAAAGGAAGCGTTTTTATCATAATAGTCATCTTCCTTCTTCTTCTTCTTCCTTCTACACTACTTGCTCGCTCTTCTTCTACGAAATGTAAGTCATTTTTATCTTTATAACATTCTCATCGTTTGGTTATATAAACATGATGATGAATCCTCTCTGTTCTTCTTTCTTTAAAGCCTTCTTTTGGCTAGGAGAAACACAAGATATGAAAGCCACGAAAAAGGTAACATTTTTTTCTTCACAAACAAACATATCTAAAGCGACTCTGTTTTGAATTAATTAGTGAATGAACAACAATGGATTTCCAAAAAGAAGGAATCTTTTTGTTTTCTAGCTTTAAACTTTGGATATATATACGTTTGTATCCTTTTATTCATGATTTTGGGAAAACAGGGGAAGGAGATGGATGGAGGAAGAGGAACTGAAGTTGAAGAAAGACAAGTTCCGACTGGATCCGACCCTCTCCATCATAACCACATTCCTTTTGCTCCATAGAGAGATCCATTCCAGCTTTATATTATTATATTTCTTCTGGCTCTTACTACATCTTCTGGCTTTCACATTGTTGACATATTACGTTTGTAACATTTTTCACATTCCAGTTTTGAAGTTTGTTTAATCGAATGCTTTCTAATTGGTTTCTCGAGACGAATCAGTTTGTTACCTCAGTAGTATAATATTTTGGTTTAATTAGAGTATATTTTTAAGTTGGTAAATTCATAATTATTAAGTGACATTTGTTTTATAGAAGAAATGCAGCCAAAGGTTTTATAGAAGTTGGTTCGATCAAGATGTAGTCTGAAGCATTTGGGTTACCTCAACATATTTGGGTTTAGAGTATTATTGAAGTTGGTACCAAATCATAATTATAAAGTGGCATTTTTTTCCACAAGAAACTTGGCAAAAATCGATTTTTTTTTTTTTTTTTTTTTGGGACGGGAAGTGGAAGATTGGTGTCTAAGGTTTTGTACTAGTTATTGTGATTTGTTGATGCTAGAATATTGTTGTCCATGATACTGTGCAGTGAACCAGTTCCGGTAACGACCACTACTATACTTGTTTGAGTTGTGGAGCCACATATTGATCCCCTTGCTTTGTTAGAAATGATATTGTTTGATATCTATCTATCTATCTATCTAGGACACAAATTTCATTTCTAGACGATGTGTACTAGGTCAGGTCAGTTGCCTCAGTTTGAGACCCCTCATGAAGTTTTCAATTTTTTTATGGATGATTTAGTCTTAGACACTGGATTTTGACTCTAATCTCTCAGTTGAATTGTTCTTTTTCACCTTCATTTTTTACATTTTGATTTATTAAAAAAAAAAAAGTGTTCCCTTTAAATTTGTCTCTATCTTGTATACTCTTTTTTTTTTTTCCCTTTTGACAGCAACAACTTTTGTCTCTATCTTTATCTGCAAAGTGCAAACTTTTTGTCTATCCATATCTTGTTTATTGGTTCACACCCTTTTTCTCCTTTATATCTTTCCTAGTAAATAAATTTTTACAGATATGTTCAAACTGATTTGATAACATTTAAAACTATAAGGATTTCTTTCTAAACAAAATTATAAATTGCTAACTTCCATTTTCTGTCATTTTAAATAAATGGCCTTAATTACATTTATCTCTAAATATTTTTCCAAATTTAAACCACAAGGGAGAGTCAACCTTTAACTTTTCACTGTCATAAATCAAACATCTTTCATATATATATATAGTTGAATTAGTCTTTTTATTTAGCTCGAAAACAAAAATAAAATTATTCAGCATTAGCAGAAATAATTAGTTTTATTTACATATAAATATAGGTAATAATAAAGATCTATTGAATCGAACCAACGGTCGAAAACAGAATTTTCTTTGGCGCGAGAAACAAGAAAAACCGTTATTTATTAGTTTATTTACCCGCGCAAATTAAAAATAAATATAGCTTTTTTTTTTTTAATGTGAAATGTTTGACTCCTTTTTCTCCCATTAGCTAAGTAACGAGGTGAACCATATAGTAAATCCATAGTTAACAACTCTGCCGAAGATAACAATCCTCATGTTGAGGAAGACTTAGATTTTAAAGAGAAAAAAAAAAACAGTAACGGAGAAAGCGAAGCACGTGAGAAACACGCCCCTAGAGCCTATATATAAATACGCCTCATCTCTCAATTTCACAACAAATCAGCAGCAAAGTAAGAGGATTCTCTCGTCGTCTGCGGCGCGTGGTGAAAGGGGCTCTCTCTCTCTCTCTCTCTCTCTCTAATGGCTAATCGTCCTCCTCCTTCGCTCTCCTTCGCTCGCTCCTCAGGAGCTTCTTCTGCTTCCTCCACCAATGATCGCAATCCGCTGTCGGCGGAGCAGTTGATTCTCAATCTCAGCGATTTCCAGCTCCGGGAAAATGCTCTTCAGGAATTGTCCAAGGTCTGTCTATTACTTTGGAATTTTCGGATTTTCTCTTTTTCATATTTTGCGTTTTAGATTGTGAAAATCTTTGGTTCCTGTACATGTTTGAGAAAAAAGATCATTTGAAGTTGGTATGAGGAATCTTTTTACTGATGTTCATTGATCGTCTGGGCAGATTAAATAGTTGAATGGTTTTTGATGTTCTGATTTGGTTTGATGTTTACATTAACTCATTGCTTTTGATTTTTCATACATTAGGCAGATGATTACTTTTAATTTCGTGTTTCATTTTTGTTCAGAAGAGGGAGCACTTTCATAACTTGGCTCCGCTTGTGTGGCATTCTGTTGGTACCATTCCTGCTCTTCTTCAGGTACTCTCTCCATGCTATTCTTATGGCGGTTTTTTACCTTTATCCATGAGTAGTTATTGCTTGATGGCTTTCTTTTATACTGCATTATTTCTAACATTCTTACTTTTGAGATTTGATGTACATTTTATACTGGTGGGAAGACCTTTTCATTTTCTTTTATTTCCTCTTTTCAGGAGATTATTGCAGTTTACCCTTACCTATCTCCTCCAACCATGACTTCTGCTCAATCCAACAGGGTCTGCAATGCACTTGCGCTTCTCCAGGTGCCTTAAAAATTTTCAAATTTTCCCTTTGTTTTAGGAGATTTACACACGTTTATACATGTATGTTCAGTTTCGAAGACTCTAATCTTATTTTATTCTTCCAGTCTGTTGCTTCTCATCCTAATACGAGGATGTTGTTCCTGAAAGGTACACCTACGCTCGCAATCCATAGTTCTCATTGTTTGTTCTGTGACTAAAAACATACTTAGATTACATTAGTTGATCATCCAATCTGTCTACCAGAACTAGTTGTAAGAGCCACCTTGTTGGTCTCTTATTAATTTATCTCATTTATTAGATTTGTGTGGTTATAATATGCTTAAAGCTTAAAGTCTTTTTCTTTTTTAAAAAAAATACAGCCCATCTGCCATTGTACATGTATGCTTTCTTGAATACATCGAGCAAGTCAAGGCCGTTTGAGTTCCTGCGGCTGACTAGCTTGGGGGTTATTGGTGCACTTGTTAAGGTATGTCTTGATTTTTTAGTTTTGTTTCCGTGTCTAGTTATAAGTTCTATGGTCTAGTTATAAAAACTGTCTTGATGCCAACAAGGCAAGAACACTCCTTTTACTTGCTTACAACTGTCTGGCCATTAAATACCACATTGTCTTGGTAGATATATATTGTGTTGATTTGAGAAACCACATCTTAGCATGCTAAGACCTTTGAGTAAATAGTGCAAGACATCATATAATTATTAGTGATATTGGTGTTGCAACATGGTTCATTTGGTTTGGTAGGTTGATGATGCTGAAGTGATCAGATTTCTTCTTCAAACTGAAATTGTCCCACTGTGCCTCCGGACAATGGAAAATGGTAGCGAGTTATCAAAGACTGTAAGTTTTTCTTCTTTCAAATTCTTATCTTTACATTCGCATCCTATCATCTATGCAGCTCCGAGTTGCATAGATCTGAAATTTTTGCTTCATACAAAGAACTTTTAACTTGTAGAAGTATTGCTTGCAGTTGATGTTTCTGGCTGGTTCTGGGAATGCTCATCTGATTGATTTTTTTGAACTGGTTATTTCAGGTTGCTACTTTCATTGTTCAGAAAGTTTTGCTGGACGATGTTGGGCTTGAATACATGTGCACCACATCGGAGAGATTCTTTGCTCTGGGTCGAGTTTTGGGAAATATGGTTACGTCACTTGCAGAAGGACCCTCTCCTAGGCTGCTAAAGCACATCGTACGCTGTTATCTCCGCTTGACAGAGAACAACAGGTGCAATATAATCTTTTCTCCTTCATTTGAAAACAGTTTCATAAACTCGAGCTTACACAATACAATTATTTATGACATTCAGAGCCTGTGATGCGCTTGGAAGTTGCCTTCCTGATCTTCTGAGAAATGCTGCCTTCAGCAAATGTCTCTCAGTAAGTGTCATACCTCTTATTAGCATCAGAATCAATTGCTACTGATACTGATAGCAAGTTGTTATCTATCAGTTCATTGTTATCTTGTCTCAGTTCTTTTGGTACTTGACTGTTTTTAGCTAATCATCTTTCTTATTTTGACAGGATGATCAAATTGCAATGGCATGGCTGCACCAACTGCTTCACAACATTAACAATGGCGGTAGAGCACCTCAAGAGTTGGTTCATATGTTTGTGAATTAAATAGGATCCCAGAGATTATTATTCATTGGACAAAAATGTTAGGTGGAATGAGAACTACAGATGAGAAACAGAAACTCTCAAGCAAAGATTTTGAGTTTGATGAATATATGTACTTGGATTTCCTGACCGCCTTATGATGTTGCAATTAATAACTAATATTCCATTGAAAAGACTGAACCAAGCTTTAAACCCAATGTTCTTAGAAAATCAACAAACGTTTTTTAAAACAGATGAAGAGAAATATTGTCTATAATAGACTGTCAGATCTTGCAGGTAGCCTCCTGAAGAGATTGAGCGGCACAGATGGTAGCTTGTGCCTGAACCTTGGATGCCTCAGCACATAGATCCCAGCTAGAAGTGCAACAACCTGAAATGGCGTAACATACAACACAATAGCAGCTATGAGACAGAAGAGCACAAATAATGTGGTTGCCCTTGGGTCTCGCCAGCTGAGCAATGATAAAAATCGCTCTCCCTGTGTCGCTAGATCGCCTATCACTGTCTGAACCCGCCCTCCTATGCTTCTGAGCCGGTCGTATCGCATGCGCACAATCTCAGAGGACCTGGAAGTCGGGAAAGTATCAAACTCTTCATCAAGCTCATCGGGATGGACAGCGTCTGCATGGGACAACCGTGTGTCCATGTGGGGCGGGTGTCTTGGTCTCCATCGAAAATTCCAGATCCCAATCAAGAAAAGGTACAAGAAAATCGTTGGGAGGATAAGTTCCGGATAGAGAACTAAGATAATGAAAAGAACATGAATGAGAATTGTGGTTATTGGGTTTCTCCAGTTGCAGATCTGATCGAACCATTTTCCAACAGCAATGAGACCACTCAGAACATTCATGATTCTGAAGAAGTTAGCTTTGCTCCTCCTCATGCTCCACATGTGTGAGTCAACATCAAGCATGTACTCTACAATCTCTTTGCGAAGAGGTGGCTCTGCACGGTTCAGCCTCGCTGAGACAATGTTCATTGCTTGGTGTCTTAGGCTGTCCAGCTGGAGAACTGATAACGGGTGGATGTAATGCATTTTGGGTAATAAGGGCTGAGAATACATATGAAGCATGTTGATGAGTGATAGGCAAGTGAACCGCACGGCTAGCTGTATTTCACCCGTTTTCTTAATCCCGGACGGATGAAAGACGAGCAGCGGATATGAGTGTGTGTATATACGGTCAGCTTCAAGGGTTGAGAGACGGATTCTTACTTTCCCGATTCTCAAATCTTTTCCACTTCCTCCTGGGATGTGTCCGTTGTCGAATGCTCCAAAAGTTATAACTGTGCAGGTATCAAACACTTCCCACGTGTACTGCTCGTTCCATTTAGGCGTGAAACTATCGACAATTGTTCTTGTTCTGATCCATTTCTGCCCGTACTTAGCCACACAATATGCATCTGTTGTTCCCTTCCCATCTTTTGTCTTCATTGGCATCAGTCCATGCGCACTTATGATCCCTACTTCAAGCAGTCCAATGCTTGGTCTCCATAGCTGTTTTGCGGTTGGCCTTAGGTCGCTGCTGTAGTGAGTTGATTCATCAAGAACATGGTATCCGCCTTCAAGAAAGATTCGTAGATGAATCCTGCTTGCGAATTTGATCTCTTTTTTCTCTCCTTCCACCATAATATGTTTCTCCAGGTTAAACCACCTCGAGTTAAGCGGCCTATGGTCTAACCTCCTCTGGACATTCTGCAACGGGATCGCACACCGGCCTAACGTTTCATCTTTGTTTGGTGCAACCCTATCTTCCACAGCGAGAATCAACGGCTCCTCAAAAGGCTCAGCAACAACAAACATCAGATCTTCATTCCACATTGGGTTCAGTGTTTTCGTCTGAGAAATACGCGTTCTCAGAGTCTGGTTTCCGAGCATTGCTTTTACATAAACCTCAGGGAATTTGGTTTTATCATGAGGTATCAAATCTTGAGCCTCGATTACATTAACTCTCACATACCAAAGCTTTGGCGAAAGATAAACCTTTGACCGGATATTCGCCACACCCTCAGGTCCAACTGTGGCTGCATCTGAATGCCAAGCATCAGAAAAAGCTTCATCGGCTTGTGTACCCATCCAAACAGCTAACATAAGCTCTCCCTTAACCTTACGGCCATGTCGATCCTCCAACCTATACCACTGAGGAGCCAGTGGACTATCAGGCGGAACTCGCTTAGGAATCTCATTAAGGTCAAACATGATTCTACCAATCAAATCATCCAACACCACATCTTTGTCTTTCACTACAACCTCCAAAATTGATGCTTGGATCCTCTCCTTTGAAAACGCAAACACTTGCTTCCACTCCGGGTTGGACTTCTTCTCGAAATGCTTAGTCATTCCTCTATAGTTTCCGAGCTTCACTTCCACATAAGGGTCGCAACTACCGGTCACATCTTTCCCTGGTAATTCCTTTGCCTTCATGACCCTGACGTAGAGGTAATGCATCTGCTCAACCAAATCATAAGTGTTGGAGAGTTTATCACCTGTCACAGCTCCTGCACCAATTTTTGGTGAAGTCTCCTTCAGTGCAAATTCTATATTTTGCCCAGGTTTCTGCATCTTGACTGAAACTTGAAAACTCCTACAAATCAATTACTAAGAATCCGTCTCTTGAGATCCAAGAACTTGTAATAAGAAACCAGTTTCAGGGTAAGCTGCTTGGTTCTGTTATCTTAAAGCAGCCTTCTGGTAGAAAAAAAAAAACAAAACACAGCAACAATGAATCAGAGAGATTTTAACAGTTTACCAACAACGGTTACAACATATTACTTACATATACATCTCTCAAATCAAAATCAAATGAATGAGTAAGGAGTTTGAGATCTACACTCTACTGAGAATAATAGAAGCAGTCTGAAAATGTTTGATAAAAGTGGAAATGGTAACTTTTTACATATATTTAAATGTTATTTGGGACTCTTGTTGAAGTTTTCTCACCAAACAAGCATCTACCAATCTACCATAGATAGACATTTTCCTATAAATAAAGATTCCCCAAAAAAATATGTTTTTAAACCTTTTCTCAATAAAATTATAGCAAAGCTCTCTTAGCTTTCTTCTAATCTGTGATCCAAACAAAGCAAGAAAGTGACTTTTCAATTTTTTTTTTTTTTTTTTGAAAAACATCATTTACTTTTAAATAAAATAAACTGAAAGAAGAGTAAACATGAAGATCTATTTGTAACTCAAACAAACAAACAAAGAAAAACAATCTTTGAGAGACAGACAACTAAACCCCACAAGAAATGTTTTGCTTCTATGTCTATAATTCTTCACTATCGCTGTTACTTGAGCAACTGATCAAAACAACACTATAACAACTAGTCATAATATAATAACAAATGAAACAAAATAACAATGGTAATGTACCTAAGGATCTAATGAAGAATAGAGAAACCATCTTGGATATACATTTTTTTTTTTTTGGGCAATGGAAAGTTTAGAAGAAAGTGAAGATGGTGAAAATGAGATTTCGAAGTAGAGTGAGAGCTTTTACCTTTTAGTGAGGAGGAGGAGGTGAAGAAGAAGAAGAAGAAGAAGAAGAAGAAGAAGAGAGAAGAGAGTGTACAGTAGAGAAATAGAATATATTGGGAACATGTGGGTACTAAGATCTGCTGCTTTTTAGTGGACCTACTCTTTTGACCTCTTCTTTCATATTTTTATTCATTTTTTCTTACTTTTCTATTTGCTACTTCCTCCATTTTCACTCTTGTCTCTACCAACTTGTATTAGTTTATTTCCTAGTAATGCATTTAAGGTTGAGTGCATTGATTGAGAGAGAAATCAATGTTTGTAGGACTTGTTTGTTTTCTTGTCCACAGCTTTGTTTCATTGCACAGTGGAATATACTTTCTGTCTAGTACACACTTTATTTCTACATCTTGTATGAGAATATATATATTTCATGAATGCTCTGATTTTGATTGTGAATGGTGATAGCTCATAGAACGAACTAGAGTCCACTCTCTACTTTTAGAATATGAAAAACGCGAACTGCTCGTTAGTACAATTTATAAAAACACTGTTGTCTATATATTTATTGTAACTGCAACAAATATTTTTTTAAGATGAAACTGCAAATACAATGTCACAAACCACCTAAAGAGGCTAAGCATCTAAATACATTTCCAGGAGACCTTTTTTTTTCTTTTTCTTATTTTTCTCCCATTGTACTAATGGAGTTTTTAACTGTTTTCTTTCTTTTAAGTTTGCACACTGAAGTACACATTGTATAATTCGTCTCTTAAGCTGAATAGTGGGGATAACACAAAGTTCCTCTGTGTTCCGCTCATCACGAAACTCATTGGGTTGTATTGATGCGTCCCTGTCTTTATACTAAAGCTTGCTGCCTCTTTAAACTTCTCATCAGTCACATCCGAATCACATACAAGCCTCAGTTTCATTCCCGGCTTTACGGTCTGATCGCTGTACACATAACAACCCTTTTTGCTCTCTAGTCTTAACGACACGCTTCCTGGCTTCCCGTCAATTCCAGGTATTAACCGAAAGTAAGAAGCTTCTTTGGCAGTAGCAGAAGAATCTTTAACCGTGAGAGAGCTATCAGTTGCTTGTGTTACAACCATGCCAGGGAAATCAAACGGTTCTATCATGACCAGGCTTCCAATTAGTTCCTCTGGACCTGAAATCCGTGGTTTAGAATCATCAGTCATGAGCCTGAATGTCGCCGCAACTGCGTCTTGTGTTCCTGACTCGGGTGATACTGTCATTGTGATGGTTTGGTTGCTATTTGACAACACGTAAGATATGTTCCCAGATTGTTGTGAGAATGTGACAAGGTGACTGTTATGAGTTTCAGGTATAGGGTTGATCCATTTTCCAGCTTTACCCTGAGTTGTGATGCTCCAGTCCCTGCTCGTGTGCCCAGCTAACAGGTAGGGGCCATAGAGTATGGCATGAAGAGACGAGTACTCCTGCCGGTCATCTGAAATAGTCACAAAAAAAAAGGGGAAAATAATTTGAAATCAGGTTGTTTTGTTATTGCTTTGTCAAAACAGAGTTGTATACAATTTATACACAATAAATAAGAACTAGTTTACCTCATTACACAGCATGACTGATACAATATCTAATATACGACTAGTTACAATTAACCACATCAGAGGTTTCAGAACACTGTTTCATACCTTTAATAGCTTCAGTTCTGATACTCAACGGTAGCTCCATCGTCAATTGATCGCCGGATTTCCAGTTCTGTTTGATTGATAAGAAATTACCTGCAAAGCAAAAGGTAGATCTAATATATATGATTCTCATATTTGCAAACTAGAGATTATAACCGAAACACAGGAGTCAAGAGGATTCTGCTTTTAGAATCTAAAAACCAAATCACCTGAAGCTGGTACTTTCAAGGATTGGCCATTCAAAGATACTTTGGCACCTACAGAGTTTGTCCAAACAGGAATCCTTAGATTCAAAGTTGTCTCTTTTCCCATTCCCTGCAAGAAAATTGGATCCATCAGAATCTTTATTTAAGGGGACAGGTTGCATCAAGTTCAGCAAAAGTTTACCCCTTTGGAAGAAGAGAAAGAGAATGTCACACGCATGTACGGATCCCATGACACAACGGGTTTAACTTTCTGAGATAGCAAAAGACCAGAAGATTTCCAATCAAGTAAGCTTGATATATATTGTGTGACATAAAGAGCTGGAGATTCACCATCTTCTTGAAAATAAATGGAATCTCCCAGTTTTGAGAAAGATTCAATCCCTGTGGACAGAAACAAAAGTATTCCCTCAAAATATATCTATTTTTGTAACTAAGAACATGTAGATAACAAGATGATTGTGGTTAAAATTTACCAGTGCCATAGCAACACCAGAAGGCATCATACGGCGTTCCCCAACCGTGATAAGTTACAGCCTTAGAAACACCTTTACCCAATGGGAGCATGTAGATCATCAGTCCAGGCTGGGTTCCTCTTTGAATTCCGAGCACACCGTTGGTCAAAGCGCGCTCGTAATAGTCGGCATAGCTAACCTCTTTTGTCCATCGGAACAGATTCCTAGAGACCTGCAATTGTACAAGTTTTTATATGTTGTTATCTTGAGAAATGAAAAAGAGGGGAAATAAGTTTAAAATCCTACCTTGAGCATGTTATAAGTGGTACATGATTCTTCGTTTTCATTTTGCAGTGTAGTCGCCATTCTCTTTGGATCTTGCCTAACATTCCCAAATCATGCATGGTTAAGAGTTATAAACAAAGTCCTGTGAAAAGGAACCAAACTATAAAGTCAGATAATGGTAGTACCAGAACTCAGTGACTGATGTTCCTCCAGTTGCATAGCTGTGAGAAGCATTAACAATGTCCATAAAGAACATGGAGATTTCCTGAAAGTATAGAGTTATCAGAATCAAGAGAACCGTTTTATTTAATAAACTCTCACGCGTTTCCAGGTTGCGCTTCAATACCTTATGGAGTGGATCACCAGTGATTTCATACCGTTGTTGGGATCCAATGACGATGGGAATATGTGTGTTAGAGTGGAATCCACTAATATCATCGGCCTGAAAATAAAACACGGCAAGTTATGTTCCATTGCCATTCACATCTCTTGAAGCCAATCATCAAGTAAACTACCTGAATTGCAAGGACTCCGAGAAAGCAAGGCTTATCAAAGAGATGTGCGAGCAGCAAGTACTTGGAATCTCCCTGCAGAGTCCAATAAACCATGAAATGACACAAAGCCAGATAGAAATCTAAGGTTGCTTTTTAGAGAGACTGACAAGATTTTAACTCACAGTGATGCTGTATAGCTGATAGAGAACATCATTCATGCCACCAGTCTCTTCGTTTAGTGATAGCCAATGTCGTTCCACGCTGTAGTTCCTTATCACATTACGAACCCGGACATAAAAGTAATCAGCCATCCCTGTTGCCATTTTTAAAGCTTGACTGTTCCCAGCCAACTTGTATTGATCCACCAGACCAGCTAATATCTGTCAAAATTAAGACACAGTTAGAACATCTTTTGCAAAGAATAAGCATAGTAATCTACATCAAAGAGTCTAACTTTTCACCTTGTGAATGGTGTAGTAAGGAGCCCAAACAGGTTTTATAGCTTCAAACCGGTCGAAAAAACTGGAAGGGAAAGCAGAGAGATATCCTGTGCCAACTTTCTGCTGACATTCGGATAGAGCTGAGACGAGAGCTGACATTTTGGCCTTGAGAGTATCATTATGAGTACTAGCCCACATATAAGCTGTTGCACTCAAATAATGACCTTCAAAAACAAACAGGTAGATTCTATGAGCCATCTACTAACAGGTAAATCCTTTAAAAGGGTCTAAGCTGTAAAAGGCAAGTCCTTTAAGGACCTATGCAATATATGTATTCCAAACATCAATTCTCAAAACCATTTCTTGCATATACTATCAACAACATGGTTCAAGAAAGTATACTGAATTGAGGAAAAGAAAAAAAAAAGCAGAGCTTTATACCGACAAAATGGCCACGGAGTTCACTGTCTGGTCTCTCCCATCCTCCATAGTAATTTCCTGGAGCATCAAGACCAGCTTCTTTACGGAAGCTCCAGGCCAAACCATCAACATCCAACATCAATAGATACTCAAGGTTAGTCTGCTGAGCCCTCCAATGAAAGGATTCCGGGTCCAGCCTAACATCGTGCAAAGAGACATCCTTGAGGAAGTTACCAGATGAATTAGAGTCCTTGAACTTCCTATACAACATAGTCCAACCAAACTCGTCTTCCTCTTCTCTCAACATCTTCCTAGGCAACAAACTAGACCAAGCAGCGTCATCAGTTGGTGTTAAATGGTAATGAGAGAACAACTCTGTCTTCAAAGTTTCGTTCTTTGATTGGAGAAGGTCGTAACGGAAAGTATGCGAAGCGAGCTGCGTAGGAGTGTTCGTACACTCTTTCGCAACACAAACAAGAACAAAGCTTGTGTATAAAAGAGCAATTTTTATGATGAGACCAGACTTCTTCATCGTATCCATTCTCTTTTTTGTCTTAAAAAATGAAAAGCAAAAAGTCTTATCAAAAGAGAGAGAGATCGTTCAAAACCCGAAACCCAAAAGATCCCAAAAACAGAATCGAAGAAGAGAATGAAATCAAAGACTAAAAAAAACAGTATGAGTTGGAAGAAGAGAGTAATGTGAGCAGATATTTATAAAGCAAAAAAGAGTTCCAAAGATTTAAGCAATGTCTACCACATAACAAAACAAAAGAATACATTCAATCACGTGAAAGAGAAACAGAGAAAGATAGAATTTTTGGATAAAAATAGAAAATAAAAAAAGAATTAGAGAGGAGGTGAAAGAGGTCACGGATGGCTTGTCTCATTCGCTGCCTGGTATGGTAGTAATAGAGAGACTCTGTGAAAAAGGAACAAGTGTGTTTCCACAGAGATCAGTGGGCTGTTTCTGTTTTTTCTCGAGATATGTTTGATGGACTACTACTAAACATCACCATCCCCAACGACTATTACTATTTTTTTTTTACTTTCGATTTACGAGATGATTAATTTTTTTCCTTTTTAAATCGCTAATTAACGAAAATGGAGAGATCGAAGAAGGGGTTTTTGGTTGCAGAGGAGAAGAAGGAGAGATGTATGTATGTATTGGAAAAAAAAAAAAAAAAGGTTGAAGGAGGGACCAAAAAAATGGAAATAATAATAAAATAATTAAATTGCATGGCGTCTAAATAAAAATATACTAATATATGTGCTTTTGGTGTGTTAAATTCTTTAACTGTTTTTTCTTAAATAAAACTAAAATTTGTAACATTCTTAACTGTTTTTAATATTTTATCATATCTTATTTAATTACTCTTTTAAAAAAAAAACTTGTACTATTTTAAGATATCTAATACTCCATAAATAGTTTGAATGATTGGAAAACACAGCTGGATATTTAAGTAACTGGAATAGGATGATGACATGCAACTCTACTTTTTCTAGTTTCATATAAGTGTAGTTCTTTATAATATGACTTTTAAAAATATTATTATAAATTTTAATTGATTTTCTTACATGTATACATAAAATTATAATGAGTAATTTAATATTAAATCAAACAAATTTGTAAAAGAATGTAAAATGGATGGCTCTGGTAGATCGCTTGGCAATGGCGTGTGGAAACCATCTGATTGCAATGTGTGATATCTCTACGATGCTCGACGAAGACATAATGACATGTGATGTGATTTTATGTGAATGAATACAAACTAATCTATCAAAGAAACTCTTTTGTAAAGTAACATGAAAACACAAAAACAAAAAATCTTATATATCGAATGATTAACATAATCCCTTCACGGAGTATCAAATAAACATTACCAAAACTGTATATACCATTCTCATAATAAATGTCTCTATAGACCAAAACAATAAATGATTATTAAACTCAGTTTAGATAAGTTGGTTGAAATAGCAGTATTCTATCGTTTCTTTTGTGATGTCTGTTTTGGTATATGGAATTGGAGAATATATCATATGATGTATTACGGTTTTCGTGAAAGACTGTTTCAACCTAAGTGCGTAAAAGAGAATCTTTACTGTTTTGTACTGTCATTTTTATTTTATTCCTTCTGGTTTTTTTTTATGTCTTCTCTTTTAATTCAAGGGAAGTACAAATTACATTCAATAATGCAGAAGCTAAAACTACAAAAACAAAAGATTTATAAAGCTAGTTGTTGAGTATTTATGGAGAGTGATGGCTAGTTAGTTAGATGTAGTCGTCGGTGCACACAAAAAAAAAAAAAAAAAAGAAGTTAGATGTAGTCGTCATTAATCAATTTTCAGACAAAAGAGTATTTTGGACATTCCGGCAAATTAGTTATTTTCATAGGTGGCTATGATATTTGCTACCGTCAATTATTGGATGTATCAAATAATAATTATCTAAATTGTTACTTACAATATATATTTGTTGAGAAAACAGTGGTTCTTTAAAAGTGAAGGTGATGAATATTACAGTATTATGATGACGAGTTTAGTCTGTTGCTTCAAGAAAGGAGCATCACTCCGCACGTCAGTGTTAACTACCCAAAGGTCTCTTTTTCGAGTGTGGTGCAAAACTGCAAAGGATAACACGAGTTACTTACTACTTTTCTTTCATTCCAAAGTTACTTTTCAACCCACTAGATTGTACGCTTTCATAACAAAAATATCTAAATTCTAAGAACCGATCTCGAAATTAATGTCTTTCCCAGTTTATATATTTGGATATATATATATATATATATATATATATATTTGCATATGGAACCTTAATTGTGAATTGTACCACCTTATGGGGTTAAGGCAGTAGTAACCTTGTTCAGTTAATAAGCTATATGACTTGAGGTTTTTGTGTGTCAGATCGATAACTATTATGCTAACTCTAGTCTCTAGCTACCTAGTTGGTTGTTGAAGAGTTCTTTACATTTAAACTGATATACTAATGGTTGATCATTAGTATGTCATTATATGTCTTTATATACATTCCAATGCTTCGAGTTGGTGAGATTACATCCTGCTAAGAAAATTACTTCACATATATACGAGAAGGTGGATTCTTCATTCTTTACTCTCGAATAGTGTGAAACCGATATATTTTTATCTTTTCCGCGATATGAATACATCGTAAGACTCTGTTAGCACCAAATTATGATATTTTAACCGATTATCATATTATCTATCAACGATATGAATATATCTACCTTGCATTTTTTTTTTGGGAATAATGGCTTAATAGCAATCGATGATCTTTATCAAATCATTGTAGGAATTAGGAAGCTCACACAAAACTCTTGGAGAGACGGTCTTCTCAATTAATTAAAAACAAAAATCAAGAATATGTTATCTAACCATGGTCAAGTCGAAACCTAGTACAAATTTTAAAATCAGCATCAGCCATAAAGAAAATATATTTTATAACTAAGATGATGCTTCAAAGCATACATTTGCAAACAAACCTTGTAATGAAATTCTATCATGTACGGTAATCCTGTTTTATAAATAGAAAGTGACTTAGAAGCATCACATACCTATTGTGCAAATTAACTTCTCTCCCGCACGGTATTCACGTGTTCTTTGTGTCGTATCTTGTTGTTCTTCTGAATACAAATTATGTCTACTTCTTTGTAGTCCTGATGATCTATACTGGGCAAGCCTATATATCAGAATCTTATAATCGATATATATCACCGATGAATAAATTTTATGTAATCTAGTTGTGACTATGATGATTTTGTTTTGTACTTTATATATAGAGTCGGCTATCAGAAACTTTGTCTTCGAAAAAATGCAGAAATGTGTGTTCAATGACGGATCAAAGAGATCATGAATTAAAATGCACTTAGATTAATTTCATAGGCCATCGCAAAGGCCTATAGTTCAATAATTCACACCCTTTGCACATTATCAACTAGTACAGAATTGCATGCATGACAGCATGACGAAAATTTTACAACTAAAACACAGTTGTGAAACTTATGGAATGAAAGACGACCCATGCACGGTGTACCACCGACATTGGACACAGGCCCACCATACCAGTTTAGCCTATTTAGTCCAGTTAACTACAACATATGACTTTTTTGTTTGTTAAGAAATTGGGTGGAGATACTCTAAAAGTCGTAAAAAGATGGGTTTTGAAAGTCTATTAAGACCAAATTATCGGATGTATCCTGATCGGACGAGCGTGGTCGGTCCAGATTTCTAAATATTGCCTAGAAGTGGCCACAACTTTTTAAAATACTAGTTTATCCTAAAACAAGCTCATGTGGTTCGAGGAATCTTATTGACGATGGTTTGATATAACCAAGAAGATCAAAGAAAATACGATATACTTATTTGTTTTGCCTCTTTCAAACGGCTAGTAGTTTTACATGATAACGTGAAATTATAATTGTAATAATACTGTAATAATATTTCATTAACCAAACTACATTTGATTCTCCCCAAATCTTGTTAAAATAATTTTAATAATTTAATTAAATCATTTCTTACAGTTCCCAAGAGGCTTCCCACAAAGACAAGTATTGTAAGCGAACGACGTCGCATCAAGGTGATCGAAAGGTGATCCCACCGGAATCTTCCCACACAGACGGTTATGGCTCACGTCAAAGTGCCCGATAAACGACACCGCCGTGATACTCGCCGGAATCGGTCCCTGTAGACGGTTGTTCGCTAGATCCAGCACCGTGAAGTACGACCTCGGTCCGAACGTGTTCGGTATCCGTCCGGTTATGAGATTCCCGCTCAGATTCAAATTCGATATCGATGACGTCATCAGCGTCCCCGGAATCTCGCCGGATATCAAGTTCCCGTCGAGATTAAGCGTCGCGAGAACCGACATTTTGCCGAACGAAGCCGGGATCGAACCGGTGAGCCGGTTCAGCGAGAGCTCAAGATCCGCGAGCCGGTAGATCCGGGTCAAAGATTCGGGTATTTGACCCGAGATTTTGTTACCGCTTAGTAACAGACGGCTCAGCATCTTCAAACGCCCGATGTCTCGCGGTATGACTCCCGAGATATTGTTGTTCCTTAGATCCAGATGCGCTAAACTCGTCAATCTCGTGATCGACGGAGGAATCACGCCGGATATTTGATTATCGGCGAGGTTCAACACTTTAAGCCTCAGTAACATCCCAATGTTCGCCGGAATCACGCCGGAGATTTTGTTTCCGACGAGATCTATGTGTCTCAAGAAAGGGAGATTCGCAATGCAGCTAGGGATCCCGCCGGAGATTCCCTTCCAGTCGGCGAGGATGATGCCGGAGAGTCTAGTGAGTTTACATATCGCCGGCGAAATGATACCGGTCATAAGGCCGCTCCGTTTGGCCTTTTGGAAAATGGGGTCTTCGGACTCGCCGCGGAGTGTAATGCCGGCAACTCGGCGGGTGGTAGGATCGCAGCTGACACCATACCAGCCATTGCAACAGTCTTGACCTTTCCACGTGTTGAAAACGCCAATGTATGGCTCCTTGAGCTTAGCTCGGAACTCTAGAAGCGCCGCTCGATCGGAAGGTGAGCAGGATTGAACCGTCGTGGCGGCGAGGAGCAAGACGACGACGTTGCTCAACAGGATCACTAATAATGACTTGTTACTGGTATCCATTGTGTGAAGAATCTTTCTTTTGAGTGATATGTGTTTAATTATTATGAGCTTTACATGGGATTGAAGCAATTTGACATGGAAGTGTGACTTAACTAGATGGTGTTTATTTATAGTCACATATCGATGGGCGTGAGAAGACGACGAAATATTACTTTTTTTTTGTTTGCTTCTTTGAACCTTCTCATCTATTGCCACGTCACATACTTTGCATGCTTCTATATATATTTTTCCATTCTATATCAGATTTATTTTGTTTGATGTGAAGATTAGATCATTATTCATTACTAATATAACATGGTTTTGTTTGTTTCTGTCGCCTGGTTGTACCATCCATGTCATCAGGCCTGGGCATGTTCTCGAACGGTTCGACTCTCTCCGGAGTCACGTACTGGAATATAAGAAGAGATTGCAAATTTAATTACCCAAGTAGTTGAAAATATGAGTTCAAATTAACAATCGTGGCAATGCATCAATTAGTTTTCTTTTTCTTATCTCTAGCTACATTGAATTTTTGGACCCAATAATGAAGCCAACAATCAAGTGGCTAAAGCTACGAGAGTTGACATTATCTTGGTTTCTTATCTTGTCCTCACTTATGTATTTTTTTGGCTGGATTAATTTACTGCTAGTTTTATTTTATTTTATGTATAGATGCATGATTTAATATTACTGTCAAATTTCATGGATCTTATCGTTGTAGATGATCGATGATGAGCATGTGATCTTTGTCCTTGTTAGGAATTAGCACATAAATAATATCAACCCCATGTAATAAATGTATATCTATTCGACCTCCTTGTTCAACCTGTGAGTCAATCAATTACTAGTTTAACTTAAACTATAGTTATTACCGAGTATTTTGTTCCCACATAATAATGTCATTATGACACAACCCTAATCATTGTGATAAATCGTCTCCACGTTGCCCACATTGCCCACATTGCAACTATCTCTACGTACGAGCCAGATAATTTAGTTTTGATTGTCACTTTCCGTTACTGGTTTTAATATTATAGTATATGTTTGATTTCGTTGCTGTCTATATTGACATAATCTCTCACGAGCAACAACGCAAATATGTAAGCTGGTCTTTCTGTCTTGTGCGTTCGATTATATAATAGATTAGTCTAGTGATCAAATTATGTTTATTTTGATTCAGCTTCTTAATTCCAACGACTAGTTTGACATTTAATTATTTCCCTTGAGAGATTTATATAAACCTTGAGTTTTCTCAAAATTCATGGTCGATCGGCCCTAGCTAAAGAATATGACAGGTTTTGGAGACAGCTAGAGTAAACGTGACTCGGAGATTTGGCAGTTGTTTTTAATTGGTACCAAGAGATTTAGGAGGAAGTGTCAAGTCAGAAGAGAGGCATTAATGGCTTTGATTATTCAAAAGACAACTCATGTGGCCGCATGTGCTTGACGTTCGTTTGCCGTCTAATGCATTTCAGAACTTTTACTTTAAAAATGATTCGTTAGTTTCAGACGATTGAAATACTAACATGGTTTTATGCAAGTTTATGAAATGATCCACATATCATTACTATTTGCCGGCAATTGCGCAATCTAATATCTTTTGCTGTTGACGTGTATAAATATGAGAAATTTGTGGGAAAGATATGTAAGTTAAACACTCAAAATGTAGGTAGTATGCAGGGGAGTCAACAACAGACGACTTTTTCGATACTTGAGAAAACAAAGAAAAACAAAAAAGAACTAAGACTTGACAAAAAAAGAAAAAAAAAACTAAGACATCACGTGTAACAATGCTTCAGAAAATGTTTTCAAAACTGTCTTCTGGCTAAGTTTTCATTAATATAAGAGAACGAAAATGTGGTTTCGCGTAAATGATGCATGAACAACAAGCACATAAAGAGATGCAAAAGGTTATATTTGACGTGCAATGCAAATTTTAAGTATAGTCCCACAAAGTTGGGGATCAGCGTCGTGAGTCAGGTGTACCATCATCATCTGAGTCCTGAGATCTATATTGGCTGAGATAATTCTTAAGCTGAGATAGATCACTAATTGTTTGACAAAAAAAAAAAAAGATAGATCACTAATTATAGGAAAGCTGGAAAGTGGAAACTAAAAGTCCAATATCATGTCATCAAAATAAAAACACTCATGTTTTGACATTTTCATACATATTAAGAAAAAGTTGAATATTTATTTATAAATTAAGTTATAATTACTTTTTGAAAGAAAGAAAATCATATCAAGTAAATATAACTTAATTATTTTTGAGTATTAGATAATATGTTATATGGAGAAATACATAAAGTGAAAACATAATTTTAATCTACAAAATCAATATTTTTAAACCAATGATAAGATGCTCAAAGAACCAAAAACTGTAGACTAGTCAAGCTCACAACCACTCAACGTTAACCCTTGAATCGATTCACCTTCCTTACGGGGGAAAATCTCAAATTTTAAAATTACAGAAACTTCCAAAAAACCCAAAAAGTCAGAAATATTGAAAATTAAAAAAACCTCTCCTTTGAATTGAAGACGAACCGTTTTCTCGTTGATTCCTCCTCTTCTCCTCTCCCATGGATGAACCCGTTCCGGATCCGGATCCCGGGTCTTACCCAATTCCCCCCGCTTCAGTCCATCTCTCCCCTTTCTCCTCTCTCGTTCCGCCGCATCTGTCCTCAACTCACTTCACCCGTCGTTGTCAGCCTCTACAATCGTCTCGGCGTCCAGCTTACATCTCTCTCCAAGGTTTACTCGTCAATTCCGATGTAGCCAGCTCAGCTCGGTCAATCGGTGGCGGATTGACCCGAGATGAAGCCCTCGCGTGGGAGCTCTTTACGCCTTACCAGAGATTCCTGATTGTGGCCGTCATTGGTGTCGCCACCGCTGAGTCGAAGAAGAATGGTGTGATTCGACAGCTCCAGAAATCTGTTGATCTTAGGGTTCGTATTGGTTTCTCTTATCTGCTTGGGATTTGAGAAATTTCGTTACTTTGGCAAAAAAAAAATATATATGGGGAGACTGAAAAATTTAGAATTTCTCTCGGATTGTTTAATTTAAAGCACTTTGCTTTTAGTTCAATTAAGCTTTCAATTTCCGTTACTTCTTTTTGAATTTCACTCATTAAGGTTTATATCATACAAATTTTGTGTTTAATCTCTCTAGATCTCGACATTACTAGTATTGAGCTCACAATGGTCTCACTGATGAAGTGTTTGTTTTTTGAATTCTTAAGAGATATTCTTACTGTAATTTTGGTGTCTTCTCTGACAGCAAGTGTGGTTGTTTTTTTCAGGATCAGGTTCTCTCAAGCATGCAACAAAAGCTTGACGATTTGTGTCAACAGCTAAATCTTGTCAAGGATCAGTCTGCGGCTGGATCCAAGGTCTCAGATCATGATGCTCTACAATCCACTCTTAAAGAAAAGTTTGGATCTGAGAGGATTAATTTTGTAGATTGTGGCTGCTGGCTGTGTGATCAACATCTTCATTCGTCACCTGTTGTTGTTATACAGGTGTGTGTGCTCTTTGCACTTCTATGGGAATCATTGAAATCACTGAGCATCATTTCTACATGATCTAATTGATTATGTTCTCAACTTCTCTTTGGTTCTACTGTTTAGGATAAAGCTCCTACAAATCCGGTGATTGACACAGAGCCGGAGGAAAGGCGTATGTCTTACATGTCAGATTGGTGTTCCAGTGTCACTTCTGCTGCAGAAACCCATGTATGTTAAGAATATGTGAATTTGGCCAAACAATCTTTGTGGTATATCTTGGTGGTTTTGTTGCTAATGAAGATCACTTGGTTTTAATGTTCATTGCAGTTTGATAGTCTTTCACTCGACCAAGACATGCTTTCTCTCAGGAAGGAGTGTCAAGAGAAAGATGCAACAATAAAGGACTTAACTTCATTTCTTCAATCGACCACCAAAGCTAGTTCAAAAGTAACCGATGACTCCTTGAATTTTTCATACGCCCTTAAAATTCTTCATATGACTTATATAAAAATCGTTTCTTCTTTCTTTTAACAGCGAGAAACGGAGCTTGAAGAGATTATTCTCAGGAAGAAGACAATAATTAAGAAGCTCAAGAGAGACGTGCTGGTGTTAGAAGAAAAGGTTACAAACTTAACTAACCTTTACAAGTTGCACAGCCTTACTTTCGATTTCCATCGTGATAAATTCCCTGTAAAATCTTCAGTACGAAAACTACTTGTATATGATACCTTCCATTGATTGTGAAATGCGCAGGTCACACAGCTCACTAGGCTCCGGAGGTCCTCCTATTCAGCTGCAGTCTCAAATACCCATGAATTCCCAATGAGAATGGACAATCTTCTTTATGATATGGATCTTCTTACAACCTCTTCATCCTCTGATTCGGAAGCTACTGTAGACACACCCCAGCGTGCTTTACCAAAGGCTCCAGTTGATTTCATGAGGGAGGAACTCTCAGCTGTAGGACTAACCCATAACTCAGCCCCAGCTAAATCCTCAACATCACTTGTGAAATCTGTAAAGCCGCCTTCGGTAGTTAGTCCATCGACTACTAGGAAGCCTGTTTCAGTTTCTTCTTCTTGTTCTTCTTCTTCTTCTTGTTCTTCTTCTTCTTCTTCAAGGCTGAGACGGGGTTCCTCTACAGGTGATTCAAAGAAACCTAGAAGGCCAATTCAGACCACTGCAAGAGATGCCTCTGGTTCGCTTAAGAGATGGGTTTAGTAAGTATTGGTCTGCTGGTAAGTATCAGTACCAGTTCTGAGAAAAAAGCCATTGAATAGAACCTGTTTAAAATACGTCTGAAGTGCTGAACCAGAACCAGCTGTTAGTGTAAGTAGGTGCTTCAGAATCTAAAGTTATATTGTAGCTAAAAGTATAATATACCATCAAGTTATTTGTTTTGAGAATCTTGACTTCATATCAAAAGCTCTCAGTTGGGTTTAATTGAGTTTTCTAATCTTGATATCTATATGAAATATGGCTGACTCTCTCTCAGTGCCAGAGTTGGGAGTTCATGTGAAGCGTAGGCATGAAACATGAGTATCACATAATACTAAAAAGAAAATTGAACTTTTAAGAGCACAGCGTTAATAAGTCATATCCAGAGCTTTTTACATTCTCTCCTACTGAATCAACTCCTGAAATTCCTCTAAACGATGAAGATGATAGAAAAACTCACTCAGTAACAATTGATTGTCAAAGTTAAAACTTAAAACCGACGTGTTTGACAAGGTAACAAGGCACAGTTTTCCAATGTCGGTCCCTTATAATTCAAACTCCATGAGAGAAAAATAGTCAGCAGCACCAACAAAATCATGCAAATGACTCATAGCCTCCTCCAGCTTTTCCAATTGAAGTTGATCGAAAAAATCCTTAAGAAGGGTCTAAATACAAGCAGCACCCGGCCTCTCCCCCAGCTTTTCGGAAGGCATTATTAATACTCTCTAATAAGCAACAACGAGATGTGTGAAATAATCACGCCTGCCATCAGTTTCCTTCATAAACTCAAACTGAGAGGGTTCATAATCACTCTCTTCTCCATCTCCAACACCCTTTTTTGGAAACCGAATGTGCAACGTTGTCAATAATAACTCTGATATCTGGATGTGGAGGTGACTCAGTGATTGCTAGCTACATTATCCGGAGCTTGACATTTTTTTTTCTACAACCCGAGAAAAACATTTAAATCAGATTCAGGAAACCATGTAGACTACATGTAGTACTTTATCTTAAATCAAACTTAGATTCTCCAAATTTACGTTATTTTAATACTGAATTTAGGTATGAATTTCAAGGTTAATCAAGGCACTATGCACAGGTAAACTCGGAAAAACCCATGAGATCAATCGGAGACGGAAATAAAACCTAGTTAGGGTGAGATAAGAAGCACCGTACCTCAGCCGAGAATAGCAGCACCGTAACGAGAACTGCCTTGAGATTGAGAAGAAGCTGAGAACCAACGACTTCGAGACCTAAAGCTTGCAAGTCAAGGAAACACGAAGAAGATCCTCCTCCTAACCGAGCCCTAGGCATAGGCTGGTAAGTTCTTCCGGGTTCCCTAATGGGCCTTTACTAAATGGGCTTATAATTTTTGTTTGATGAAATAAATTGGTTTGGGTCAGTCAATGTCTCTACTATACCAACTTGTGGACTAAAAGCGCGAAGTGAAAGGCGGGAAAACTGAGAGTTGGTCGGACGCCAAATTAATGGAGAAATACTTGGTTTCGCCGGGATCGTCGCCGGCAAAATCTACAGCTACGTTCAGGTAATTCGATCTACAGTACTAGGGTTTTTTTTTTCCCTCATCTTCCTTGGTTGTAAATTGGCATTGTATTATAATTTACTCAATTTTATCGAAGGCGACCATGGAAGCGATCTTTAATCGAATTGAATGGACGATTGGATTCAGCTTATCGACACGAACTCTATACTCTGGTTGCTCATTCCTACTCGGAGGTTTTTATTTTTACTCTCAAGCTTTTGCTTTATCGTGAGATTAACTCTTCTTTAGATTTTGACATTTTGGTAATTTTGTTTCCTGTGGCTAAGATTGGGAAATTTCCACATCTTTATCATTTGAATGCGGAGCCATGTATTACCCATGTAAGATTTTTTCTTCCAAGTTCCTAAGTGTTATAATTTATTTTTGGAGTGTTTTGTCTGAGCGCTAAGAGATTTGTATGTCAGATGGTGGAGATCCACCAGCAGCATTCCTCAGCAATGTAAGTCTCTCTTGTTGCTACTACTTACATACTTTCTAGTGAGCTTTCAATTTTTCTTTTTTTTTTTTCGCTCTCATTCTATCTATGTGGCTCCTAGGCGAGGCGTTGCAGGGCTTGAGTTTGATAACCAGGTGAGTCCTCAGCAACACCTTTATAGAGTCTTTTATCCGTGAATGTCCATTTTCATTTCATCGTTTCTTATCTGTTTCTGTTTACTCTTGAGAGATAGGATGTCACGAGTTCTTGTGTTTTTTTTTTTTTTTGCCATGTAGTTTCTACTCCTTCGAATTTTCTTGTTACCACTTCTTAGGTAAAAGGATTGTTTCCAGGGTATATATTTAGTGTCAGTAACAGAGTCAGGATGCTTGACGGTGCATGACTTTGAAAGTCTATATTGCCAGAGTAAGGTTGGCGCAGGTGAACCTTTGAACTCTGCTCATTTTGTTTATTATTAACGTACATGTGTCTCTTTATTCTGGGTCATACCTTTTATACAATGTTTGCTCATATTAAATTTCTTATACAAGTTTTTGTTCCTTTGTTCATTACTGTTTTGAATGAGTAATTTACTGAGTTGTCAATAATAGGTTCCGGAGAAGATGAAAGTAAGCATGTTGTGCATTTGTCTTTTCGTCTGGGTTTCGATGTCGCTAGATGGAATCCTTCAAACCAGAATGAGGTATGTGCTCAATACTCAGTACTCAATACCATGCCCATCTGACATCTTCACTCTTTCTTAAACTTCTTTTGAAACTATTTTTTACATGACCAATTGTAATTCCTATAGGTCGCTTGCACATCTAGGAAACATGATAAAGTGCTTATCTTCGATATTAGTTACATGTCTCCCAAACCAACTGAGGTATGTTTTATAATATCTGACTATAAAATTTCATGGATATCAGTTATATAGGTTTTGGCGACTGTTTCTGGTTCCAACTAGTATGACTGTATTATCATGACTTAGGTTGTCTTCTTGTAAGCTCAGTTTATGTTTTATATATTTAAAACAAGAAACACAGATGTATCGCTATATTTCTATCTTAGGCATAGCAAAATTCCCTTTCCAAAATATGATTTCAGATAAACTGACGGATATACCGAAGAGTGTATGTATTGTTCCCATCACGATTATAAGAAAGCAAAGCAATTTTAACCTGAAATGACACGGCCACTGAGATGGCCATGGTAAGATTTATCATTAAGTTTTAATCTGGGTACTTAGGCTAGCCCTGCTAAATACTCATATCCTTTTACCCATATTTCAATCATTGTTCTAATTGTATTCAGGAATTGCAAACTAGACAGAAGCTCTCAATTATTGGCCGCAAAATATCTAGAGGTTTATCTGATGTTGCCATGACTAGTGATGATGATTCAAGGTTTGTAGCTCCCTGGGATGAAAAACAATTATAGCTTCTTTTGTACCAACTTTCTTCAGCAATTTTTCTTCATTTGTTCTTTATGCAGAATATTTTCTCCAGATACACTTGGTATGGTTCATATGTGGGATAGAAGAGCTGGTGTGTCTCCATGCATTGAACTTACAACAAACAGATACGATTCAATCAAGAGTATTCAGATATATGTAGATAATCAGGTAATCATAAGATTAGATATCTCCAATCACTGTCAAGTTCTTCTGATCACTGAAATTGCAGTAAGACTTTAGTTTTGAATCTAGTAAGGCCCCAAAGTTTTAGACTGAGTTTCTTTCATATACCATGTAGACTATTTTTGGAGCTGGTAAAGAAGGAATCATTCATATTTGGGACCTTCGAGGAGGAAGAAACTCTTCTGCTTTTCAGAGCCGCAAAGATGTAAGTCATACAAGGGACGAGCTGGAATTGGCTATGGCAGTATATTTCATCTGTAACATCTACATAAATTTACTTAATTTTCGTGTTCTCTGGCTCTGCCAAACATGTATTTTTGATCACGTTTTTGATATCGTTCAGATGAGCCACTTGCCTTTAGCATCGTTACATCTTGCACCAATGCTGCAGAAGATTCAATCTCTTAAGGTAAGTTCTGTCTTTTTGTTGTACATCTCTCTTGTGCCACCGTTCAAGCAACCATGTTCTGCTTGTTTGGTTTTTTTTTTTAAATAAGAATTTGTAATGTGAGAATCATTTTACCCCCGAAACTTCCAGCAATTGATCACATTGAAATCGGTAGCATCAGAAAAAAATTGCATCTCAACTTGAATCCTTTGCAGGCACAGTCAGAAATCGTTGCCAAGGAAATCCATTCTATTGATATAAACCCATCCTCTCCTCACCAACTTGCATTTCACCTTGACGATGGTTGGTAAGTCATTCGTTCACAACAGCTTATTTCATTTAGGAAAACAATTAAACAGAATATTATATTCATGTTTTGTTTCGTTGGTGGATATCCAGGTCTGGTGTTCTTGACATATATAGATCTGAAGTTACTCATGTACATTGCCCTCCTCCATCTTGGTTGTAAGTTAATAAAATAAACTCAGTAACTTCAAGCTTAATTTTTAACAAGCATTTAGACTGATCAACGATTGGGAAGAAAAGAAAAGCTTTAAGAGTATAGCAATTTTTGGTTCACCAGGGATGGTTCCAACAGTTCAGCTGATTTAATCTTGCGGAAACCTTCATGGCTGCCAACATCATCTGTAAGCCCTGCACTTTATACTACCATTAATGGTCTTAAGTGAAGATTTTCTGATATTATCTGGCTTATTCTAATGCAAAGTTATATGATTCCTACTGCAGATTTATGTGGTTGGATCTATGAGCGAGAAAGGGATTCATGTTCTTGATTTTCATCCAAGCTCCAAGTCTCCTTGTCACGTTGACTACGAGTAAGGATTTCTAGAAAACTCCGAAATATATCTTTTGTTCTCTTTAATTTCATGGCTACGTTCCTGATATTGTTGATATTATTGTTGCAGTGAGGATTCACAGAGAAATGAGAAAAGAGACAAGTGTAATCACAGTAACAAGTTTGTTTCATTGTCTGAAACTGTCACAGGTTGTGCTGCGCATCCTCTTAACGGCATGGTCGTAGCTGGAACTCAGGTATTCACGTTTGCTCAAAATATCTTAATCAATTTGAGCCTTGATGACCGTGATTTTTGATTAGTTTTAGTAGTGCTCGGCTAATAAAACAAACCAGTGAAACTATTGGACTTTTGTTGTCTGGTAGCAGTTAGAATAATGTAATTGATATTCTGTATTTTATCTGGTGAAGTCAAAGTGTCAATAATGATAATGGTGATTCTGCAGAATTCGTCTATGCTGCTGATCGCGCAGAGGCATTGCTCATCTACATCAGAAACTGTAGAAGGTGAATTGTAGCATTAGGTTTGTAACATAGAAAATCATATACGAGATTATGTCTGAATGTTAGTAAGTATATAGTTTTGCTAAAATTGGTGTTCCAAAAAGTGTATACTCATCATTACACAATCATGAAATTGTTGACATATCCCCCTCAATGTTACTAAACTCGCCTCCAACAATTTTACATCACATAGAATCTTCAAGTCCACTCTAACGATTATCTCAACTTTTCTGCTTTTACATAAGTTTTGTCTCTCCTTAATTTCATAAAAAAAAAACTACACATTGCAATTTGTCTCTCTTTTCACCATTGGGTGTAGAATTCTCAAGAAACCGCATGATAACAAGAAAAGTAAGTTTACGAACTTATTGGTCCATTTTTAGCATCCAATTCTCTTACCCTAGTTCGTATCTGATAGAGTAACTCAGACGTTGTATATTTCTCTTTGGATTATGTTCCTTGGCTATGTATAAACACACGCATTGGATACCCCTCGTTTAGATTTTAATCATGATGTGACTTTGTAACCTTTTTAAAAATATTCTATAAGATCCAACCAAGCTAGTGGCAGTAGACGAAATCCCACGGTAGCAAAAAAAATGCATAAGTCTTCCGATCTTGCAAGTCTTTTGGCTCATCAGCTACTCTGGGTGCATCATGCCACTCACTTAAACAAGTTCCATTACAATTCAATCGTAGCTTATAAATCACTTACCAAGTTCCATCACAATTCAATCCGATCTGGCAAGTCTTTTGGCTCAGCTACACGGTTTTGTTTCTTCCACTTATAAATCACTTCCATTCAGATCCAACACAAGCATGTACCTACCTAATAAGCATATATAGTAAGAGAGGTTGGTCGTATCCATTTTTTCGTGCGGTACCACAAATTCTTTTTCAGTAATCGTATACAATCTACAAAATCCTTTTGGTTTAAGCGAGCTTCGCACTAGAAACAACCCAGTTATGTGTTGGGAATACAATGTAGTAAGTATATCATTTATTCTCTTAAATTTTTGCACTTGTAACACCATCATCATCACTAAGAATCAAAATCCAAGTGATTACTATGGATAAGAAATTAAATCCCAAGTGATAACATAATCAAAACCTTTATATAAGATGGTAGGGGACGAAGAAGTGCAGAAAAAAACAAATGCCCCAGTTCATTCGCAAGAAAAGGCAAAAAGGGCTTTAACGCATGTGGAGTTTTTTTTTTCAAAATGCTTTATTAGGTTAGGCTATTTGTACTTTTTTTTTATATATGATGGGGTTTGGTGGGTTTGGTTTTGAAAGTTAAGCACAATTTACTATTAACAATGATTTTCTCATCATTAAAATTATTGAAACAGTGTAAAACCCTATTTCTTGCTGATGTAAACAACTCGACTTTACACAAACATTATTGCAATTAAAACAACTCTTAAGAAAATGATCAGTCCCACAAGGAATTCTATCTCTTTAGTACAACTAAACAAAACAAAAAATGATTTTGTCAGAAAGTCATATCTTAGCTTTTTAACTAAAGGTATGGCCTATTTGTTTTCTCTAATTTACCCATTCTTCTAGCTAAAGAAAAGATATGACCTACTAGCTTGTATTATCAAATCCATGTTGTTGACTTAAATTGAGGTCTCCTAATAATAGATTTTGCTATTTATTTCTTTCTTTCAGAATCAAGTGGTTGCTAAATAGATTTTGTAACAGTGAGGTGATGATCCTTGACATCCAATGACTTCTGTGTGTAACTTTTTCAAAAGACTTTTTTAATCATTCATTCATGGAAACCCTTCCCTAAATTCAGAATTAGACTATTGACTTTTCTTTTGTTTACAAAAACTATGATTCTTTTAAGTACACACAATTTGAATTTCTTTACTATTTTCAGTTTTTTTCAATATAATGTATAGGACTTTTTTTTTGGTTATGCGTTTCTAATTTATAGTTTCATTGCTTACTTGTATATGTTTAAACATAAATAGATTTAGTTCCTAAATTTAGTTTTTACACATATATTCTTAGTTTATATCTATTAAATTTAACTTAGTTTTCTAGTTTTTTAGTATTCTTAATAGAAAATCCAAGTAAGAAAAAGCAGATTCTCTTGATTTTTTTTTTTTTTTGTAAATAGTAGAGGTTTTTGGATGGGAATAAATCTAGTAATCTATAATTCAACAAATTTCTTAACTATTTATCCCAAAAAATAACAACAAAATTTATAGGAAATCATTATTTCAGACAAATCTTTTGATTTACAATTAAAAACATTATACCAATGGAAATGTGAAAAAAAAAAATGAAATAAGGTTTTTGTAAATAAATATAGAGAAGAAAAAGGAGAAAATGAAAAAGGAGGGGCATTATCGTAAACATAAAAAAAATGGTCTCTGCCCTTCACATGCGTTCCTTGTATCAGTCCTTTTAAGAGAAGGGGAGACAGAACATTCTTTGGATTTTCTCTCTCTCTCTCTCTCTCTCTCTCTCTCTCTCTCTCTCTCTCTCTCTCTTCCTTCACAGACACAAAGAGAGACATCATCCTCATCACACACCCTTTTCCTCGCACTATCGCCTTCACTATCTCTTCACATCCCTCTCTCCCCTCTCTTCTAATCTTGTTCTCGTTCTTGTTCTACGAGATGGCTTCTTCTGAAACAAGAATGAACAAGGCAATAGAGAAAGAAGAGGCCATAGCAAAAGGAGTGAAGGTGAGAGCACTTCAAGCGAGTCTAATGCACAAGTCAAGCCCATCCTCTACTAACTACAGTCTCAGAAACCCTTCTTCCTCTTCTGCTGCTTCACCTGCTTCTCGTCCTCTCCCTAACCTCTCTGCTCATGATTACCCTGTTTTCACTCCTGTAAATTACTTCTCTCCTTCTCTCTTGTCTCAGTCAGATACCATTCTTCTTGGTTGCTAGGTTCCATCATGCTTGTCCACTTTTTCTTGTGTCTTAAAACTTGATTGCTTTTTCGACATTATGTATGGGAATTTGGGTTTCCTTGTTCAAAAGCTTTTGGAGTCTCTTTCTTTTTTTAAAACAAAAACATTTTTTATAATTTCGTCAAACCCGAGATTTATTGGTTCAACCCGGTTCAGAGCTTCGTTAATTATTGCATTTCAGTATCCAATTTAGATTATGTCTTTCTTAATTTACTGTATGTATGATGTCGTTGCTTGTTTTTTGGATCTTCTTCACAAGCGGTTCTCATTGTTTCGAAATATAATCATATATAATTTGGTTAGTCCCTTTAATAATTTAACTACTGTTGAAGTGTTCAAAAGTATAAAGACAAACAGAAAAGACCTGAATTTGGTAGAACCACTGTGTTTTCTTTTTGTCTTTAGCTGGCACTCTATAGTGAATCTTGGACAAAAGTTACTGTGCTTTTTACATTACACATATTTTTCTCTGCTAATTTGGTGTCTTTGAAACAGAGCTATGAAGATGAGCCTGTGTCTGCATTTCACCACAAGAATCTCACTTTATCTGAGACTTGGGATGAAGATGGAGATGAAGATCAAGATGTGCGACATACTTATCTCTCTGATTCTTACAAAACCTCAACTTCAAGAAAGACTGGGATGCCTCATCATGTTTACACTATGTCGGACGCTCTCAGATCCCCGCCGTTGCATTATTATGCTTCCGGTAAAAGCAACTGCGGCTCGGTTGACTTTAGGTCGGTCTCTTCTTGCAATGATTACAACAAGCAAAGAGGTTTCGATACCAAGAGCTTGAAGAACTCTAATCTTGTTGTGCCCTTGACGGATTCACACTCGGCTGTTGTTTCTTCTCAGCCACGGAACCGTGGAGGAAGAATGATGTCTTGGTTATTCCCAAAGTTGAAGAGGAAGGAAAAGAGTAATTCCATCTTTAATTCCCCTAGTAGAACTGACAAATCTGAGGAAGTTTCTGAGGTGTTGAAGGATTCTGGTTCGGGTGTTGAGAAGTTGAAGAGGGAATTGATAGAAGCAATCAGAGGTAGGGATGCTGCGTTAACACAAGTCTCAGAGATGAAATCATCATTGGGAGAGTTAAGTGAGAAGCTTCAGTACTTGGAAAGTTACTGTGACAATTTAAAGAAAGCTTTGAGAGAAGCAACAGAGGTAGTGTCACAGGAGAATAATGTTGCAAGAAGCTCAGGGAAGAAGAACTCAGAGATGCCGGTGAGTGAAGAAGTGATGGTTGAAGGTTTCTTGCAGATTGTATCGGAAGCAAGATTGTCGATCAAGCAATTCTTGAAAACATTAGTTTCAGAGATCGACGAAGAAGACTCGACTCTAATTGGTAACATCAACACTCTCTTTCAACCTCACAACTTATCATTCACCTCCAAGTACTCCAAAATCATTCAGTACCACTTAGAAGCGATCGTAAGCCAGTCAGTATACCAAGACTTCGAAAACTGCGTTTTCCAGAAGAACGGTAAGCCTAAATTGCTTGATCCGGAACAAGATCGACAAGCGAATTTCTCGTCCTTTGCTTCCTTGAGAAACTTGAGCTGGAACGAGGTATTGAAAAAGGGTACAAAATACTACAGCGAGGAGTTCAGTAGATTCTGTGATGAGAAGATGAGTTTGATCATCACAACATTGAATTGGACAAGACCTTGGTCTGAACAAATGCTTCAAGCATTCTTTGTGGCTGCAAAATGTGTATGGTTGCTTCATTTGCTTGCCTTCTCGTTTAATCCAGCTTTAGGGATCTTGAGAGTTGAAGAGAACAGAGAGTTTGAATCAAGTTTTATGGAAGATATGTGTGCAGATAGACAAAGATCAGCATCGTCCCGTGGACCGGCACGGGTTAAGGTTATGGTGATGCCTGGGTTTTATGTTCAAGATAGGGTTCTGAGATGTAAGGTTCTTTGCAGGTACAAGACATTGGGCTGAAAAGAGTCTAGTCTAAGTCAAAAATTGATTAGTTCTTAATTAACTTTTCTTATTGTTCATCTCTTGCCTAGCTTCAGTAGTACTACTTTACATTTGTGTTTGTTAAGAATTATTGTAGGTTTTTAAATATTGTCACATACAAGTTGTCAAGGAGGTTTTGCTTCATCATAGCATAGCTTGGTACAAAGTTGGATTAGATTGTAAGAAAGGCCCATCACAGTTTTTTGCTTCCATCTCTGATGAGTGTGTGGCCCAAAAACATATTTATATTAGAGGATAAACGTAGCTACTGTTTAAAGTCTGCAACCATTAAAGTTGTTGACAGGTTAGTGTAACTGTTCACAGTTGTGTAATAAAAAGCTTTAGTTTATTCCAACCCAAATCTCAAATCTTTCATCGGCAATGGCGGATGCTAAACCAAGAAATCTGAGAATCGTGATGTTCCCTTTCATGGCTCAAGGCCATATTATCCCTTTTGTAGCTTTAGCCCTTGGTTTAGAGAAGATGATGAAGAACAGAGCAGCCAAAACCATCATCTCTCTCGTCAACACTCCTTTGAACATCCCCAAGTTACGCTCCAATCTTACGCATGAATCCTCCATAAGTCTCATCGAGCTACCTTTCAACAGCTCTGCTTACGGCCTTCCTCACGAAGCTGAGAATTGCGATGCTCTTCCTTACTCTCTCGTCATCAGCCTTCTTGAAGCTTCTAAGTCGCTTTGTGAGCCTTTCAGAGACCTGATGCAGAAGATCTTGAAGGAAGAAGATGATGGGAAGAGCTCGGTTATGGTGATCGGTGATTTCTTCCTGGGCTGGATCGGTAAGGTTTGCAAAGAGATTGGTGTAGCGACAGTGATGTTTAGTGCTGCTGGTGCTTTTGGGTTAGGCTGTTATAGATCCATATGGTTAAGCTTACCACACCAAGAAACCAAACAAGATCACTTTCTTTTAGATGACTTCCCTGAAGCAGGGGAGATTGAGAAAACTCAGTTGAATTCCTTCATGTTGGAAGCTGACGGAAGTGACCATTGGTCGGTGTTCATGCAAAAGAATATCCCCGGATGGTCTGATTATGATGGATTCTTGTTCAACACAGTTTCGGAAATCGACCAGATGGGACTATCCTACTTCCGTAGAATAACCGGTGTTCCGGTTTGGTCGGTCGGGCCGGTTTTTCATTCCCTGGACAAAAAGACGGGGTCAAGAACGACAGAGGAAGCTGTCAAGGCATGGCTTGACTCAAAACCGGACTGTTCAGTTGTCTACGTATGTTTTGGTTCAGTGAACTCGATTTCTCAAACGCATATGTTAGAACTGGCTATGGCATTAGAGAGTAGCGAGAAGAACTTCATATGGGTCGTGAGGCCGCCGATAGGTGCGGAAGCGAAGAGTGAGTTTGATGTGAAAGAGTATATACCGGAAGGATTTGAGGAAAGAATAACAAAATCAGAAAGAGGATTGATGGTGAAGAGATGGGCACCGCAGGTTGATATATTGTCACACAAGGCAACATGTGTGTTTTTGAGTCATTGCGGATGGAACTCCATACTCGAATCGCTTAGCCACGGTGTGCCATTACTCGGATGGCCCATGGCAGGCGAGCAATTCTTCAATTCGATATTAATGGAGAAACATATTGGGGTCTCGGTTGAGGTGGCCCGTGGGAAGAGATGTGACATCAAATGTGATGAGATTGTTTCTAAGATCAAGCTGGTGGTGGAGGAGACTGATGTAGGGAGAGAGATTAGGAAAAAGGCTAAAGATGTGAAGGAACTAGTAAGGAGAGCAACGGAAGATAGTGGATCCTCTATCATTGGTTTGGAAGATTTTCTTGGTCAAGCAATGGTCAAGAAAGACAAGAATTAAAGACATATGTAGATGGTTTATACTTTATATTATAAACATTTTATTTTGGGTAACACACATATTGGGAAATTAAATAACCATGACCAGTAGTTATACGTACCGTACAAGTATTGGGATAGAGGAGCTAATCTCTTCTTCTTTTGTTTAGGATGTAAAGTGATAATGTTACAAAACTCATAGAGCACCCTTTTCGATAAGTTTTAAAACTTATGATGCATTTCCAACTTATTTATATACACTACGTATAGTAAACGCATGTACATTAATCGCAATTTGTGACAACAGAATTCGAAGTCTAATTAACTACTTAGTCAAAATATTTAATCCCTATTATAGTAAAAAAGAAGTACAAATGCTTCTTGCGTCGGATTTTAAAAAAAAATTAACCCGGATTTTTTCAGTTGGATCATACTAAAAAATTTAAGGATATTAAATACCAGTTTCCATTTATATTATTTCGAAATCTACCAAATTAAACCATCAATATCGGTTTTGGAAAGTACATTAATCTTAATTTGTTTAAGGAAAAATACATTAATGTATGATTTTGTATATTGGCTTAACAAATTAACCTAAAAATCAGAAATATAAATTAAATATAAAATAATCATTATCAAATTATCCATAATATTTCAAAACAAAATCTTCCTTACATATCCTATATTGATATTTGGATGTATAGTTTTCTCCTATATTAACTATAATCTTCACACCAGTTACGGGATAATTCATTTTCAACCATCTTTAATATATATTTTTTTTTTGTCTATGACCATATTTAATATTTATTAGGCAATAGTTTCGAATTTCTGGCTTGATTATAAAACTAATCTTTTTTCAATTTAACCCTAAGAAAATATGATCTATATAAATAAGTTTTTGCTACCAGAAAATTGTAACATCAACACAGATTTTACATTTTAACACGGTAAGAAATAAGAAATCATTGGCTCTTTATTTGTTTATTCTAGAGATTTGTAACTTTACAAAACTGCATGAAAGGTTCAAGTTAAAATCATGTATTTATGATTATGCGGTGTACCGCGGATCAATCCCTAAATTTTAAAAATGATTCATTGTATAATATATTTTTTTCATTGTATAATATTTATACATGTATATATGTCACATATTGTTCTAAAATTAACAATCCAACTAAAATCATACAATTTAAATAATTTTGAACATATTCGAAACCAACACATACAATCTAAAAAATGATAAAATTTAATTACCGATCAAAATAAAGTAAAGCAAACACAAATAAAATTATCTCGCAACGTACAAAGAACTAAAAACCCGGTAATTTTCCCACGCGCTATAGCGCGGATCCGGACCTAGTTAACTTATTAAATTGGAAAATAATTATAAATTATAGTCTAAACAACAAAATTAAAAATTAAGAGTCAAATAAAACAATATTCAAAACTAATATATTCGATAGAATATACGTTACACCCTTTTGTTATCCGACTTTTACCCTAGGATTAAGTCATTAAAATTACATTAGATTTTCCCGTATCTTTCCTTTGTTCGCTATATCTGCGAATTAGTTTTTCATAATAATGAGAATTCAAAGAAAAAAAACAAAGAAAAAATATAATAATTACGTAACGTTAATACAATTGTTTTCTTATGATTTCGGTCGTCAAACTTATTCCAATGGGCAAATACAAGTAGCACTAGGAGATAATTAAAAAGAAAAAAAGATGTTGCCGTGTTATTAGAGATTCCCACATGATAACACCAACTCCTTTTGACTTTCTGATTTTATTCTTGTTAATATTATTTGCCTATATATGTAATTCTATCTAACCTACGAGGAGACAATTGCTACTTAAAAACTTTTTCCCAAAAGAATATATAATCTTCATCATCAAATCTCTCTTTTCCGATCCGAAGATGAGACGTTTATGGTCGTCGACACGCCCCATCTTCCTGATCGTCATCACCATGATTGCAGTAGCCTATGGTTATTCATCTGTCGTCTCCTCATCAAACCATAAGTTCCCTCATTACAAATACAAAGCTCCAAGCCCTCCCACTACCTATTCTCCTTACCGTTACTTCTCCCCGCCTCCGGTTACAGATTCATATTCTGCAGCTTTTGATCGATGATTAACGCAAGTCCAGTACGTCAAATTGATCTGAGTTTTCTATTAACTTTTATATATATATATATATATATATATATGTTCACTATTCTTTTTTGTTTTATTTTCGATTTTTGATGTAACATTTATAACTAATATTGGCTTGTTTTCCTTTTCCAAGTAACCGAGAGAAAGGTATGCACGAAATCGATTGTTAATGTTATGTGCGATGAAATAAGCATCAGAACTGGTGCATTAGTTTTTACTACTCCCTTCTTTTAAACCAATGAAGTACGTATTTAATGGATTACAACTTTGTAAAGGAGCATGCACGTACGGTGACTTTGTGTACTATTACATTTGTTACGGATTCATAATATAGATATTGGAGTTCGAATCATCTTAGTATGGTTTAAGTTTTAGTCCGTTAATGTAATAATTAGTTTTACAACGGGTTAATAATTTTGGCTTTATCGAGCATCTATAAACTATATATATATACCACATTGATAAATGATAAGTTGTAAAAAAATATTAAAAGTTGTTTGGAAATTAAAAAAAAAAAACTTAGTGGTATCCTACTATATTTTAGCTTTGGTACTTTTTTTTTGTACAAAAATGAAATATTATTACCAAAGGTGACTTTTTCCTTTCCGTTGACTTACTGTTTGATAGCCGTCGTGGCCGACGCGGTTTAGCTGTAGGTTTGGACGTGGTGTAATGATGAGAAGGCAAATTTTGACGACATCTTTGATTTCATTATTTTAGAAGCTTTATAAAAAATCGAATATATCACCGCTTCAAAGCAAAATGCTACGTACAAAGTATACTAATTAAAAAAAAAAGTCAAATAAAACAAAACAACAGCTAAAGAAATGCAAGTTATCAATAGCTGTTAACCGCTAATTATTATTGTATGAAATTATTAAATCCTTCTATTATGACTTTAGGTTGCACTGAATTTTTCATATTTACTTTGTGCAACTCGGAACAACAAGACAACAACAACTTGGCGAAATTAAAGATCCCTCAAAGTTCCAACGGGATGGGTTTAGGGTTTTTAAATGACAACAACTGGTAATGTGATCCCATTGGGAAAATAACATAAAGAGCAACAAGTCCATTTAATCTCTGTGTTTTGTTTCTTCAAAGACAATCTAATCAGAAACAAGTGTAACCAAAAGTTCTCCTCCACAAAATGTCATGTAATGCAATAATGGATAATCATTAACCAATTAGATTTTGTCACCAAAAAGATAGACCCTTGAAGTGAGTAATACTTTTATATATATATATAGAAAATAAAGATATATATATAAGACAGGTATATAAAATTATAGGTTAAGATACATCACCCTGTAAAGTAAGATTCAAGTTTAAGCTAATGCTTTGATTCAATGGTAGTTTGTTAATTTCCTTTATTTGGGGGCTCTGTTCTCATGGGTGATAATTGCTTTACTAATTAGTAACCACTTTGTCCTCATTTAAGAAAATGATATATTTGCGTATTTGCCATATTAATCATTCGAATTTAATAAACTTGAGGCTTCCGTTATCACTCTTACCACTAAGCAAGCAGGGTTCAATACACACATATATGACCCTACACTTAATTCCTACAGTTGTTAACCTCACACTACTGTATCTGTATTGTTGTTACTTTTAATGCGATTTAAAAAAAAAAATGTATTTAGACTTTAGAGTTACACTAACGGTTTCCAGTTAGATTTTAGCTGACGTGCGTGTCTTCAAGACCATAGAGTTCGATTTCAAGATTTTGAGAGTAAAATATATAAAAGCTTACTAAAGATGTTTCATAATTTATAAATCAAAATTTTTACACAATTTTTTTTCCTGTGGGAAACTTATCAAAAATACCTTTTGTATAAATTGTGACTCTAGCATTACAAATTTGTAGCAACTTGATGGAGGAATCGGATATTTTTTTTATAACTCAATTTTAACGGTATGGTTACATATAGTGCTTGTTTATTTTGCTAAGATTTAAGCTTTGCAGAGGTTCATATAATCCCTATAATTTGATAACTTGTGAGTTTAAAATGCGAGAATAAATGAGAGCTTGGGCTATGCATGAGATGGTTGAAATATAATGAACCAAATGGTTATATCATATATATATATATGAGAGCTTGGTGGAAGAGGTGCATAACACCTATTTGGGGAGGGTACGTGAATATAGCGGATTGTGGTGCGTATAGACCTTGATTCCTTAAAATCTTCGAACAGGGAAATCTCGCATCAATTTGGTTGTTTTAATGTTTCCCCTAAAAGCTAAGATCTTTGGCCTTCTACTATATTAGGAATGATCTTGTTCAAGATTCAATACTCTAACTTCCTTTCTACTTTATCTATGGATGTTTTGTTTATGATTGTATAAAAAGTTTTGTTTCTTTCTTTTTTTTTTTGGCGGAAGGGTGGGCAAAAGATATTAGTACTATAAATCATATGATATGAGTGTAAATCAAGAAGTTAAAACAAATCATGACACACGTTTATATATATTTTATAAAAACGACTATAAAATATATGGGATAAAGGAATATAACATTTTCTTCATTACAATAATTTGATTTCTTCAAGTATACGTGTTGGTGCGCGAGAGGTGGTTGTGTGAAGCCGAAGCAAAACTTCTTCCTCGCTAAGCCTCATAGAACACAAAAAGGATTTATACTATATAATATGACACACGTCTAATTACTATTCATACAATCGAAATATATGCTTACATACGTACACAATATATTAAACATATCACAACATTCGCTTACCTTGAAAATGAAGACATCTTTGAATAGAAATAGACATGCCATGAATATATTATTAATGTCATATTTCATATATATATATATATACACACGTAAGGTTAACGAATTAGACATGTCTTGTAATCTATACCTTGTAAATGAAGAAACAAATAGAAATGGTTGTATATATATTATATTCAAAAAGAAATGTAAAAGAGAACAAGTGAAGAGCACTTCTCCTTCTTGTCTTTGATGTTAGGCATTTGGGGGTCTTTTTCAAAACCGTTTTCGTCCATGACCGATCAACTAACGTTTCTTCATATATGGTCAAATAATTAGTTATATACAAAAAGACAATACATTTGTTGTTGGTAGTGTTATATTTACCTTACACAATATATATATGCCGACTAATAATCATGTGGTAATTTGAAATAAGAGCTAGCCTATGTTTTTTAATGTTTTAAAACAAAGCAACACAGCATATATTATAGAAAATATAATAATATATAATTAAGGAATAGAGATTAAAAAGGAGGAAGTGCAAATGGTTTTTTTTTTTCTTACCAGAATTGTAAGCAAACCATACAACCATCCCTATCATCATCATCATCATTCTCCCTTCATCAAGTCTTCTCTCTTTTCTCTCTCTATTATAAAACAAACTTCACTCGTTCACATCAATGGATCCTTGAGAAAGACAAAGAGAAACAATTTAACTACTCAAACCAAAAAGAAAAGAAAAATGAGGAAACCAGAGGTAGCCATTGCAGCCAGTACTACTCACCAAGTAAAGAAGATGAAGAAGGGACTTTGGTCGCCAGAGGAAGACTCAAAGCTGATGCAATATATGCTAAGCAATGGGCAAGGATGTTGGAGCGATGTGGCCAAAAACGCAGGCCTTCAAAGATGTGGCAAAAGCTGCCGTCTTCGTTGGATCAACTATCTCCGTCCTGACCTCAAGCGTGGCGCTTTCTCTCCTCAAGAAGAGGATCTCATCATTCGTTTTCATTCCATCCTCGGCAACAGGTTTACATTTTTTACCATCATTTTGGTTCGACATTATAGTAACCTTTTTCAAGAAATAAATAATAATAGCTAGCTAACTAGTGAATAAATATATGTTGGCAAATTAACTAGCATTTTTCTGTGAGTCTTTTTTTTTAATTAAAACCGTCTAGCTTAATTTATTTTCGATTAATGGGGTACAAAATTAAAAAGCATAGAAAGCCAGTCAACACATTTAAAACAGAAAGTCAACCTTAAAACGACCAAATTTTCGAATTAAATCTTGAATTATGTTTTAAATATATTTTTATTTAATTTTGTTCTACCGGTTAATTAAGAAGGGAGATCAATCTATTTTAGACTAATTTAACTTTAAACAATTGTCATTTAGGATTCACTCTTGTGTGTATGCAAAAGATTAAAAGAAGGTTATAAATTATTTTACTATATAAACAAGCTCTAAATTATTCACAATTTTTGGTTATGGGTTTCAGTTTTTTTTTTTTTGGGTGAGGGGGGGGGGGTTAAGCAGGGATTTCAGTTAATGATATTACATTAAGTCAGTCGATATTGAAGATACATTAACATCGTAAAATGTACAATCAAACTTACGTGGAAGGATAAAGTTTGGTCAAGTTTTCATTGGCAAGATAAGTAACACTGTTTATGAAATTTAAAGGGTAGAATGATTGTTTATGAAGAAAAATTGACCTGATAAAGAGAAAGTTGAATTTATAATAATAGTAACAATAGAAAAGTAGAGACGACGCACAAAACCAAATTAGGTATGAGTGTACATTTGACATGTAATTATGTGAGTGGTCAAAGTTCGTTGATCGTGGGTGTTAAGACTTTTAGAGTGCGTCTTCTTATATGATCTAATCTAACAACAACAACAACAAACACTTTCGTTTTAGTTGAAAGCGGCTTTTGTCTCTCTTTACCACCTTTTCCTTTTCTTCCCTTTCCTTAGCTAGGGTTTTACTTCAGCTTTCACCTTTGTAATTTTATACTATTTTCTAATAGTTATTTTCTCCACAAAGATATATATATATATATATTAGTATTTTATACGCAGGGCAATATATCATCTACATATATATTAAAAACAGAAACGAAATCCCTCATTATGATTCATGATTGTGCAGTTTATAATAGTTGCAATGACTTGTTTCACGTACATATAAAATTTAAAAGAAAAAAACGAAAAAACCTTGAAGAATAAGCCATTTTATAATTCCCATGCATGCAAACCATGCACTATGTATATATATATATATATAAATATTATATAAAATCAGTTCATTTAACTATATACTCTACTGTTTCTTCTTTGATCCTCATAGGTGGTCTCAGATTGCAGCACGATTGCCTGGCCGGACGGACAACGAGATCAAGAATTTTTGGAACTCAACAATAAAGAAAAGGCTAAAGAAGATGTCCGATACATCCAATCTCATCAACAACTCATCTTCATCACCGGCCAATACAGCAAGCGACACCTCGTCTAATTCCACCTCTTCTTTGGAGCTCAAAGACATTATAGGAAGCTTCATGTCCTTGCAAGAACAAGGATTCGTCAACCCTAATTCCTTGACTCATCACATGCCAACCAACAATCCATTCCCGGCGCCAAACATGATCAGCCACCCGTGCAATGATGATTTTATCACATATGCAGATGGTATATACGGAGTTAACGCAGGGGTACAAGGAGAGCTTTACTTTCCACCATTGGAATGTGATCAAGAAAGTGATTGGTACAATGCAAATATCAACAACCACTTAGAAGAGTTGAACACTAATGGATCAGGAAACGAACCTGACCAGGGTATGATCAGACCAGTGGAAGAATTTTGGGACATTGACCAGTTGATGAACACAGAGGTTCCTTCGTTTTACTTCAACTTCAAACAAAGCATATGAATTTTTACCTCATATTCTTCATTTTTTTTTCTTTTCTGCTGCGGATTTATACTCAAAGATTCTTAGCCTGCACACACACACTTACATACATAAATGCAAATATATATATAAATACATTGATATAATTGATAGATGAAAAAGTTAGAGAGTATATTTGTAATTCGAATAATCTTTTCGTACTAGGGCTTTGACGTGCCATGTGTAATGATTAGTCAATGTAAACTTTAATATCCTTAATAAAAATAAGAAATAATGAACACATACATTTATATCTTATTATATAACATGGGCAAACATATGTGTCAATAGTTTTTATATGGTATACAACACATTACACCAAAACAAAAGGCCGGTTAATTAAGTGGTTACTCTTATCTCGAAAAGATCTACATCTCGGCCCATCTTACACTATTGTAGTGTTGGACACTAGTTAGTAAATTATTATAACATTTCTTTTTGGTTGAGTGAAAGATTTTGTTTTTGTAACTTTGTTGATCTAAAAAAAGAAGAAAATTAAAAAAACCAAAATGGCTTTTGGAATGTAATATCAGCCAATAGGATGAGGTGACCCAGCAAAGACGGGGATCTCTATTTCTCACCTCCCGTATCTCATCACTCCCCCCCCCCCCCAACTCTGTCTCTATATCTCACCGTCAGATTCTGATCCAACGGTTCTTATTTATTCAACTCTCTCTTACTCCTACTACTCCTCCTTCTTCACTCCTCTCTCTCTCTCTCTCTCTCGCCGACGACGATACGACGCTACAACAATGGCGTCTCTCGCTCTCTCCGGCTCTTGCTCTCTCGCTTTCCCCCTCAAATCTCGATCTCTCTCCCTCTCTCGTCCTCTTCCTTCCTCTCTCAATTTGACGAAACCTCTCCGATCTATCGATTCTCGCTTCTCTTTAGTCAAATCTCCACTTCCCCTCGTTTCTATCACCCGGAGATCAACTCTTATCCGCGCCTCTTCCGCCGCCGGAGCTTCCTCCTCCTCTCCGTCTCCTCCAGTGGTCCCGGCTCCGGTTCCATGGCAAGGTGCTGCGATTAAGCCGCTTATCGCGTCGATCGCTACCGGTTTGATTCTGTGGTTCGTCCCTGTTCCCGAAGGTGTCACTCGCAACGCCTGGCAATTACTCGCTATCTTCCTCGCCACCATCGTCGGTATCATCACTCAGCCGCTTCCTCTCGGTGCTGTTGCTCTTTTGGGATTGGGAGCTTCCGTTCTCACCAAAACCTTGACGTTCACTGCGGCTTTCTCCGCTTTCGGAGATCCAATCCCGTGGCTCATCGCTCTCGCCTTCTTCTTCGCTCGCGGTTTCATCAAGACCGGTCTCGGTAACCGTGTGGCTTACCAGTTTGTTAAACTCTTTGGTAGCTCCTCCCTTGGGCTCGGTTACAGTCTCGTCTTCAGTGAAGCTCTGTTGGCTCCGGCGATTCCTTCTGTCTCTGCTCGTGCCGGTGGAATCTTTCTCCCTTTGGTGAAATCTCTCTGCGTTGCCTGCGGTAGTAATGTTGGGGATGGAACTGAGCACCGTCTTGGGTCGTGGCTAATGCTTACTTGTTTCCAGACTTCTGTGATCTCTTCTGCTATGTTCTTAACGGCTATGGCTGCTAATCCTTTGAGTGCTAATCTGGCGTTCAACACGATCAAGCAGACCATTGGATGGACTGATTGGGCTAAAGCTGCGATTGTTCCAGGACTTGTCTCATTGATTGTTGTCCCGTTTCTTTTGTATATTATCTATCCTCCTACGGTCAAAAGCAGTCCTGATGCTCCCAAGCTTGCTCAGGAAAAGCTTGACAAGATGGGACCTATGTCCAAGAACGAATTGATTATGGCCGCCACTTTGTTCCTCACTGTAAGTTTGCTTCTGCTTCGTGAGCTCTGTTCTTATGTTTTGTTTGATACTTTACAAATGGGTTTGCTTTTTCAAGGTTCGATACTATGCGCTATCGTTGCTAATCTAATTGGTATCACTTTTTGCAAGAGTTTGATTTAAAAGGTGCTTCAATATAGAACAAATCGATATTTTTACGCTATTTCGGGTCATTAGATTGTAGCCATTTCATCTTACTTTAAATAAAGCAAGGTGTCTGCTTCTGTTTAAAGCATTTTGCTTCGAGTGATAATGTTCTGGTTTTAGTGTTTTAACTAGACACAAGATTTTCGTTGTGCTAAACCAGTTCTCTCCTTGGCACAGGTTGGTCTCTGGATTTTCGGAGCTAAGTTGAGTGTAGATGCTGTGACTGCAGCCATTCTCGGATTATCAGTCCTCCTTGTGACAGGTGTTGTGACATGGAAAGAGTGCTTAGCTGAGTCGGTCGCATGGGACACACTCACCTGGTTTGCTGCTCTCATTGCGATGGCTGGTTATCTTAACAAATATGGTCTCATTGAGTGGTTCAGCCAGACCGTAGTCAAGGTTTGTTAAATGTTTTGATGAATGCTTACAATGCCTGATGACTTGACAATTGATATTGAAACGTTTTTAACATTGTCTGGGTTTGATTGTAGTTTGTGGGTGGATTGGGTTTGTCATGGCAACTATCTTTTGGAATTCTCGTCCTCTTGTATTTCTACACTCACTACTTCTTTGCAAGTGGAGCCGCCCACATTGGAGCTATGTTCACTGCCTTTTTATCGGTCTCAACTGCTCTAGGAACTCCACCTTATTTTGCAGCCTTGGTCCTTGCATTCCTGTCAAACCTGATGGGAGGATTGACCCATTATGGTATCGGGTCTGCGCCTATCTTCTACGGGGCTAACTATGTGCCGCTGGCTAAATGGTGGGGATATGGATTCCTGATTTCAGTAGTCAACATTCTTATCTGGCTTGGTGTAGGTGGTGCATGGTGGAAGTTCATTGGTTTGTGGTGAGGACCACCATACACCAGTATTCCTATTCTTTTTTTCCTTACTTATATATATAATCTCATAGAACGGCTTTGAGATTCAGATTTGAGAAGGATTAAAATCAGGGTTTTAAGGATTGAGCTGAGTTTTTCCTGCAATTTATGTTCTCACTCGCACATTATTGAGGTGTAAAGGAACCTTAACTTGCGTCAATTTTGTTTGAATTCTAACTTAACTTTTTTTTCCCACCACTTTACTTTGTAGCTACTTAACTTCAACATTCATATTGCGTGTTAATTGTGCCACCAACCCATGAGAAAGTGGGATGTGTAATTGTGTATTAGTCTCTTTAAGTGGTTAAATAAAGTGAAAATACACGATGATAACAAAGAAGCCAAAAGGAGATGAACCTTATTATTATAGCTGAACTGAAACAATATGTTATTATTATTCCTCAATACAACGTTCTTTGACAAATATGAAAGAAATATTAGAAACAATTGACAAACGAGAGCATACAAAAAAATGTAAATCAGAAAATATGAGAAATAATAGAGGCAAAGAGGAACACTTTGGCCATTGTTACAACAGAGAGACAACAATAATTAATTTAATGAGGTGATAAAAATGAAGAGTAATGAAATTTCAGAAAGAAGCCTGAAAAAACTGAGCCTTTTTGGGTTATTAGAATCGAAAAAAGCGCTTACCCGGAATTTCTTTGCGTTTCCGTTTTGCTTTCTTGAATAATAAATAAACGAATCATCAGTTTCACAGCTTCACAGAAATGCGAACCTCTCTCCCTGAGACTCAGCGATCTAGCTGCAGCTGCTCAAGCCACGATTCAAGAATGTCGCTCTCACGACTGTCACTGTGGTGAGGATTCACACTCGAACCACCTTGAGTCAATGGCCTCACACCGTTCATGTTCAAGGCCCGGTTGCCGTTCCTAGGTGATGCAGAGTCTTTTAACATCTGCTGCGCCCATGAAATATCTGCTTCCCTGTTTGGGTTATTAGCCAAGGAATGAGATTTTCTTAAACGACCTAACTCGTCTGATTGCACTGACCAATCCACCTTGCTTCCATGGGTCTGGTCCCAATTTGACCATGGACTTAGTGGCGAACCAGAATCAGTCGGCATTAAATCACGGGGTAGACTGGATCCAAAATCACGGGAGCTAAGGCTACGTGAGTGTAGCTGCTGCTTCAATCGAGCATTCATTGGGGAAATAGGCTCCCCAGCTCGAGGTGATGAGGCCTGTTGCAGAAGAGAATGTTGCTCCACATTCTTTGGGGAAGACATTAGATTTGTCTTGATAGGAGAAAGCATGCTCTGCTTATTATTTTGCAGCTGATTTAGAAGCGCAGATTTGTGGGAAGGCGATAGAACAGATGAGACATTAAGTTGATCAGAAAAACGAGGGGATGCAACCTCAGCTGAGAATAGTTCCTCCAGATTTGAAGGGGTCAGTGTCTTGGGACGAGCAGAATGATTCATAAAGCGTGGGCTGTGCATATCGCCAGATAGCTGACGTTGCATTTCAAACTCATGCAGCATGCTAAGCTGCTCAGAAGGAATATCTCTAGCGTTGAGAGAAGATCTCAGCCGACTCAACTGGATATTGCTTCCAGGAAGATTCAATGCGGGTATATTCTGTTGAGGCCAACCCATTGATGAATGCGGCATGCCACCATTTCCAGAAGGAGAGATTGGCGGGGTGAACGAATGTTGAGCAGCAGATGGAGAGCCTGGTAACATGTTCAAAACTGAAGCCATGTCCATGGTAGAGGCAGATACGGTAGAAGACGCCCGAGGAGATGGCAATCCTGATCCTGTGGAAGGATACAAGGGACGCAACTCCTCATTTGCGTGAGCAAAGAAGCAAACCCTTCGGTTGCAACCCATCCCATCTTTGCACAGTCGTGTTCTGTATTGAGCAGGGTGTAGCCAGCACTCAAACACCCCATGAGCATATTCACACATGTCACCTTGCTTGCAGGATCCCTTCTTGAAATCTGGGCATGGAACACAGGTATAGTGAAACTTCCTTGGGTCTCTTCTCCTCGCATTCTCACCTGGGTGTGCAAATGGACATTCTGTCCAGTCATGGGAATAAGCTCGGGAACATGGGCGGATCTTGAACGAGAACATACGAAACTCATCTGTTGAGTAGATCCCACTTTTGATGTCTGGCAATGATGGATCAATTGGGTACTCTTTTTTCTCAGATGCAAAAGTTGCATCAGTACCGTTTGGCTTAGTCGGAGAGGATACTGAATCTAAAGAGAGTAACGAGGAGCCATTATCTGGTGACGATGAAAGAGACCGGAAACTTGATCCCAAGCTAGATGAAGAGGCATGCAGATCTT